ACTTAACACACAAAAGCTCCAACTTCTTTAAGCTTGTGATTCTGAAGAATATGACCACACTCTTTCCAGCCTTGCAGGAGCTAGTTTTCATTTCCTTTTCTTAGAAATATTCACACAACCACAAAAGACACACATCTGGTGACACTTAAGAGTAGGCAAAGAGCGTCCTAATATGCTATGCAAGGACAGCTGATTTGATCTACACATCTCAATTTGCTACTTTTCTGTCATTTGCCTCTCTGGAAAACAACACTGACAACTTTAAGAAGTCATGCTGTTGATGCTAGTTTCAAACACTGAGTGAGGCTGGTTATTAGAAGTTTCATAAACCTCTAAGGAAATGAGTGTTTTGCAGGTAACTGTACATGCACATACAAGGGTATCTCACAGCCCACTAAGTCACTACAGCACCTGCACTAGAGAAAGAAGACACAGAAAAGCAGTACATGAGAGTACCTGCAGAAGTACAAAGAATGATGAACTTGTGTGCTGTATGACATCTCTCCCCAGAAGTGTATTTATTAGTGAAAATGCAGCCAGCTCCCAGCTGCCAGAGCAGAAGAGACAACAGCAAATGGTCATTCCCAATGCCACCCTGCTATTCTGCCATAAACACAGTAGCAAAAGCAAATAAAGGAACTTGCTGAGGCAGGAACATTTCCTACAGCAAAAGCGCCAGGTATCTTCTAAATGTTTGTTTTGTTTTGGTTTTTTTAAAGTATTTATAAGTTAGTATTTGTAAGAGTGAACAATACTTCCATAAACAAACAGTTTAGCAGTTCGTGTGTTTTTGTTGACGTATGCCAATATAAGCAGGAGGTTTCCTTTAGAAAACAAGACTTGGATCGACTAGCTAACTTTTGTTGTGCAAGACTTTCAAAGGGAAGGAAAGACAAGAGAAAACACATCCAGCGGCCACAAATTACTCCCAGTTCTTGGCTCCAATCAGATATCAATTTGCAAAGGACACAAGTAGGCTGAAAACACAAAGCAGCGACTTACTCCACGTTTATGTGAAATATTCGGCTGCATAAGACACTCAGTGACAATCTGCTTTTGTGTAGCTGCCTGGGATTGCTCCTCTGACAGAGAATCTTAAAAATCTTGGCAGCAGACTGTGTGCAAGAGAGAAAGAGGCAAAATAAAAAACTTAAACGAAAACCACATTTCTAATTGTCCCGTGACTATTAGGACACATTTAGATCATTCCATATATAAGACTATAGAAATGAAGGACAAACTGGATAGGTATAATGATGGAAGGATTATGGTAATTTGGCAGTAAGAATAACCACAAAAACTAACAGGAAGGACAGGGAAAAGTTCGAGCCATTCTGAGGAAAAAACTTGGTAGTCAAAAACTTATCAGCTGAAAGCACTAAAAGAAACATTTTTGACAGATATGGATGACACTGGGAGCTGACAAAAAACACCCCAAAAATAAAACCCCCTCTACTCTGCTTTCTGTAGATAAACTCAATGAGTCTCCTACTGGCTACAATTTGCAACTAGGAAGAAAATTCCCCTCAGCAACAAGCATAGGCGGTATCCCAATCGAGGAAAACGGTAAATCCGTAATTTTTTCACAGAAGCCTCTGCAATTTGATCTTGCCAGCTTACATGCTATCTTTCCCCTTAACAATATATTCTAGAGGTACAGTTTTCAGAGAACTTAGCACATATAAATGAAACACATTCTGAATTAATGATGCTAAATAAACTTACATTTTGAAAACAAAGTTTTCCTGTTTTACTTCCATCACTAATAATTGTTCAAAGCAAGCTCTGCCTTTTGCAGAGGAAATGTCACCACCCCAGCACCTTCACAGAGGATAGGAACAGTTTTAGCTAGACACAGGGTTGTGTGACTGCAAAGAAACCTAGTTTTAAACCGAGAGAAACCGTGTAACCCAGACTTCATTTTCCACAGTTGCCACCCATCTCAACCCATGTAGGCATGCTGGTAGAGATCTCCATAGTGTGGACTAAACTTAAAATCTTACATATACGAATGGCCATAAAAAGAAACACAGTTTTACATCAGCAGGATTCAGCACTACAGAAAAAATAACTAGAACCATCTGAAAAAAAATAAATTAAATCCAGTCCTTTGAATGTTTCCTGGCTTAGAAGGTTTATGAATTAAAACAAAACTCCAGCAATTGAAAGCTTTGATTTGGTGTTAACCATGTATTCTCCACTGTGACAGTGGAGGGGAGATCTTCCTCACAGAGAGCAGTGCAAACAGGGCATTTCTTTCAGTAAGACCTGAAGGAGTTAAAACGCGCTAGTGAAGAGGAAGTGAAAGAGCTGGCAACCTTTAAGTTTTATCACATGCAAAATAACTGCAGCATTACAAATCTAGGACTCCACCAAAACGAACGGCACCCTTTTGGGAACAAAGCTATGTGTAGCCAGAATGCCTGTCCGAAGAACACAATATAATATACCTTACTTAGTTTGAAAAACTGCCTAAGCCGCTAAGCCCTTTTCTCTTTTGCACATAGCCTGTTGTCCTATAACATCCTCTTGTCAAAGCAGCAAGCCCAGGACATCCCAGGCAGCTAGAGTCTGTCTAAGCACTCAACACTTTAGATACAAAAAGACCCAACGTAACAAGAAAACTCAATTTTACAAAATAAAGAAGAATTTCTGTAAGCATCACCACAAAGGCAAAGCGTTTAATCACAGCCATAGGAAGAGTTGTAGATTTTGTTTAAATGTGGAGCTGAGATGCTAACAATTAAGATGCAGCTCCTTAGGACAGCAATCCCCCTTTTACAGAGAAAAAAATCACAGTAAAGTAGCAATAATGGTTTGTTTATCCCTACAATATTGTATTTATTAGTGGAAAACACAGCACACAAATGCACTGTGAACTCACACACCTGCCCACCAACACAGTAAATACTTGAGTATCTCACAGCATGTGATGACAAAGTACATGAAGAACACGCACTATAACCTTGCGTAGCCACTGAAGTACCACCTCCAGCTTTACAAACGGAAACCTACAGTCAAGGCCCCAAAAGGTACATGGGCAAACTGATTCCCGTCCTGGAATACAGCATGAAACAAGCTGTAGAGTGCAGCCCACCATGACTCCAGACCACACCAAGCACTAAGGCAACAAGTGTCCAAGCCCCGCTTTCCTCAGTCCCGCACAAGCACTCCAACCTTTCCTTCCCAGACCTAGTGGCAAAATATGTTTTTAACCAAATAGCAGTGGCAAACAGCAGAGGTAGCAACACTGAATAGCAGTGGTGGAAAAAACCTAAACAATCACAACAGTGCTTGCACTGCAGGTGAGATGTACACAATCTGATGTTTTGCATTACATTGAAATATAAAGAGCTAAATAACTGCAATAACAATTGGGCCTTTTTTAATTTTTACTGGTTTGAAATTACATCTACAGCCACTCATTTAAAGTTTATGAGAAAAATATTTTAACTGCCTGAAAACAGTAAAGGGGAAATCAGTAAACATGCTTCATTAACTATCATGCTAGCAACTGTGTAGGAAAACTGGATCTATCAACTGCATATATAAAAAGAAGTGTATATTAATTTATTCCAAAAAATTCCACTTAAGAAATAAACCAAATCCTGTATTAAACACTTTTCCCAATTAGACTTTTCCTCAACATTATAACATCTCTCTGTTTCACCTATTTGGTGCAAGAATTTAATTCCCAAGGCACGTCACTGTCGTGTTCCATCCCACGAAGTAACAGAGACGATCATTTTTCTGCTCTTTCTTATAATGACAGCACTGCCAAAGCAAGAGCTTTTCCTCCTCCTCCTCTCATTTTTGGTGTCTCTTCTTGAAGCTTTATCAGCTTTCAGTCTCATTTTAGAGCCTTAGAAATGCATGAAGCTTGTCTGCAAAGCAGCACCCTGGAGAAGTCAGAGGTGACAAACTGAATAGGTAATGTCAGTGTGTGCTGAATAGCAGTGTAAATGCTCTGTGAGGTGCAAGATGTTTTTAGCACGCCTTGTTAGAACTTTAGAAGATCAAGGAAGTTAAGTCAATATTTATCTTAAATTCCCTTCTTAAATTTTCTCATATAAACACATGAGAAAGCAAGGAAGACCTATTCGCACTAACAGACTGGAAGCAAATTAGTGCAACGGAATTTAGTAAAAGGGTTTTTTTATAGTTTGAGAAAAAAATATCAGGAAAAAGTAGAGAGTTCATAGTTCAACTCCTCAACTCCACCCGCCACCGCAGGTGTCGAGACAGGCTGTGGAAGCTCCTCAGTAACACGTCCCAGAGCGCCCTGGGCTTCCTTGTGTGGATGTCACCACACCCCCAGGCCACTTCCTTGCTATGGGTGGGCGGCAGACGCAGGGACGTGGTTTTATTGTGTCGCATCACAGCAACGTTTCCTGGCATCTCTACCAGTAAAAACAATAATAAACGACTAAAACACCTCCTCTCCCGCCAGGCATTCGTTCAGAGATACTAACACCACACCGTCCTAAGCGCCAGCAGGTCTTTAAAGTCACTGTGCCTTCATGCTTCCTATTCGCAGGACCTCTGGGACTTCCTAAAAGCCAGGAGAAGCTCAGAGGCAGGTGGGCTCCAGCATTCCACATACACGGCAGCACCACGACAGCCCGCAAGGAAAACTTCTTTTTTTTGCGCTCCCGTTTTAATTCCCGCTTTTTTTTTCCCTTTCTTTTTTTTGTTTGTTTACAGCAGCAGCCTGTGAGTCACCCCCTGCTCTCCAACCAGCCCGGGGCAGGGGCCCCCGGCCCGGCCGCCGCTGCGGCTCCTCCGGCCGCCTGAGGCACCGCCGCCCCGGGGAGCGCGGCAGCGCCGGGACAGCCCCGCCGCGGAGCCTCTCCGGCCCCAGCCCCGCCGGGCTGACGCTTCCCCCAAGTTTTTGTTCCTCTTCCCGGGGGCAAGGCGGGCGAGGGGCCAGCAGGGACCTCTTGCCGCCGCTGTCCCGCGGGGAACCTCGCCCGCCGCCCGCTCCCTGCACCCCGTCTTACCTGAGGCTGCGAGGGCGGCGGGCAGCCATCCCGCCTGCCCAGCGGCACCGGGAGCGGCCACTTGCTCCGCACCGCCCGCCCCAGCCCCGCCAGCATGGTCCTGCACACCCTCCTTCTCCTCCTCCGGCCGGGATCGGGCCGCCCGCGGGCGCGCCCCGCCACGGCACAGCCTCAGGGCGGGCGGCGCCGGCTCCGCGGCGGGCGTGGGCGATCCTGAGCGGAGGGCGTCTCCCCCAGCGGCCGGGGTGGCTTGTGCGCCTTTCCTCTGCTCCTTCCCGCCCCGACCGCCGAGGGGCTGGGCTGGGCTGGGCTGGGCTTCTCCTCCGCCTCGCTGGACGGGGCGGTCCCGGCCGGGCGCTATTGTCGCGGTGGGCGAGGAGGCGGTCCCAACCCACCGCCCCTCGGCTACAGGTGTTGGATTCCCCTCCCCTTCCTATAAATGAGATTAAAACAGCCGTAAATATCTGGCTTTTCTGCTGTTGAGTTATTGCCGTTATTGCTTTTTGAGGAACACGGCTATCGCTACTCCTGGGTTTCAGTGGAATTAACACATTCCGCTGCCACAGAAATGAACAGCAAAACACAGAAGACACTCGGAGTTCGCTATTTTACATGAAAGTTTTGTTTACAGCAGTAATGAGCAAGGCTTAACCCCTTCCTATTCAGTCGTTTGTTCGAGCTCACCTGTTTGATATCATCAACATGCCCACAAACGTAGGTTTTCGAGTTCAGTATAAACCACGAAAGTGTATCAGTTGCTTGGCACCAGAACAGGGAAACATAGAGGGAAAGGTGCATTCCTCTGTTTCCTCCGCCTTTTATGATGTTCCTGCAAAGCAATACTGCACGAAACAAAACACCTTTATCTGATGATGACAAAAGGATCTTAGAAAATGGGCTGTTGCAGATCTGAAAGTGTGTCACTGTCACGGAGAAAAAAAATCCACATGTGACTGCATGCTTGATGGCTCTGGGGGACTAAATAAGACCTAATTTGTGTCCATCTTCTGAGCTCTGGGAGGGAAACCTTAGGCAGCTAAGATCGCATAGACATTCATTCACATTTTGGAGTCACTGTGATCTATTAAACTGAATATGACCCCAGGAAACAGCAGAAGAGCAGCTGCAGTGTTAACAGGTAGTGACTCACAAAGGCAACAACTTGTGCTACAATCACAATTAATATTTACTATAATTATTTACCCAAATTTTATTGGAACAATTTTCCTTTAGCGAAAGTAAATTTTTCAACCTATGTACCTTACTATGTAAATTATATTAAGATCCACACAGTTGCCAAAGGTGAAATAAGGATTAAATAGTTAAATATATTAATTCAAGATAGGATATTTATGGGTTTACTGAGCAGAGGCAACTAGGTCATGGCAACAGGCTTTTTGTTTTGTTTTCCTAATACTTCTACCACATAGTGATGGCTTTATCAAAATTATCTTCTTTGGGGAGGAAGATTCAGTGTCAGTACTAGAAAGCACATCATTTAGTTTTGGTCATTGCTCAATGCTACATTTATTTTTTGTACTTCGTTTTAAAAGGTTGATAAGGAGCAAAGAAACACTGATGCTTGCAGCAACTTGCAGATGTTAGCTTCTGTGGGGACCAGGAATCACGACTCATGTTTTTTAACTAAAGGCAGGAGAAACTAGAGAACATTTTACTAACATTCTCATGCCAAGAGAACATTACTCACTGCCAAGTTTAAAAAGATGACTTTGAGTCTTTGAAAAACCTGTCCTACAATTTACTTTCACGCCTGTACAATAATCTCATGAGGCAACTCCTGCTTTCGTATAAGCAACATGCTTTGTGTCCTACAGTTTCCACTTTAAGTATTCACTGTTCACTGTAAATTAGTGGGTTTTTTTCATATTATACCTCAAAATGTATTTATAACATAGTTCACATCTAAATTAACACCATATATAATAACATTTAACAAAGAAAATTCTACATAAAACTGTCATTTTATTTATCTGCTCATAACCACTGAACACAGTAAACATAAGAAAAAAAATACTGTGAAACATCACTATGGTCACAGATACCATTAAAATAGCTATAAAAAGGAGTGAAAGTTTCACTAAAACAGGGGCTGGACTTGCACAGTATTCAAGGGGGACATCTTTTAGGATGACTTGCTAGTTCCCAATTTTTGCCTGTTCTCCCCACTTCCCCACCATGCTTACTGTGTAGTTGGTAACAGATTACTAGATTATATTAACTTGAAGCTATCTTTGAATTAGTTTTCTTGTTCTATGAGATGCAAATGAACCTCTTCCTTTCTGGTATCTATGTGCTCTGCCAATAGGAACTAGCACTTCAAGGGAAGTGATTTATGCATGCACAGCATCAGGGTTCTCTTCCTATCATGCATACATGACTGGCCTCAGTTGCAGCAAGAAAATGACTAGGAAAACAAGCAGATTATTACAGACTTGAGACTTATGTTTCAGTTCATATTCTAAGGGGAATTTTCTAAATAGAAAACTATTTACTAAAATAAAACCAGCTGGAGTTCTAGGGAAGCATAAAACTAAGGGGGAATAAGAGAGACCCTGGCCACAGTGCTTCCAAGTGGTGAACGATCTGACTCATAAGTTTCAGGGCATTCATTTCAGTTCTTTGTCAAGGAAAACAAACAAACAAACAAAAAAACCCCAACTTTAACATAGGAGGAAAGGACATGGATAATCTTTTTCATTAAAAACATTTTCCCAGGGCCAGATATCAAGCTCTAGAAGACCACCCTAACTCCAGACATGCCTCATCAACTGGATTGTCAGAAGCACACAAATGCAAGAGCAGAGATCTCTACCCTCACCACAGGGAGGAATATGACTGCCATGCATTATATTCTGAATATGTTCAGAAAGAAAAGGCACACAGCCTAATTACAGGGTAATCGTCTTCATTAGCCAGCTATAGGAGTCTGATAACATTTAATCAGGACCCCAGTTGCAGGACGTTCTCACCACTCAAGGAAACAAACATGCTTAGATGTAACTTCAGCTGTGATTACAGGGAAGCCAGAGCCCTTTTCCTCATCCTCTGACTTGTTTCCTTCATCACAGTACTTTTAATGCTTCCTTGTTTGTTCACAGGTCCTTTCCAGAGCTGGCGGGTTAGGGAGAGAAAGCAGAAAAAATCTGATGACAAAACTTAAAAGTCCCAAATAATACCAAATCCACAGCAGATATTTGAAGTTCTCCCTCTAAGGCTGTCCTCCTTCAGAGAGCAGGATTTTCTCCTACTACTTCCAGCATACTCCTGGAACGACATTTTCTAATGCATCTTACTTGAAAACCAACAACTAAAGGTTTTTTCTTTTAACTCTTGCATACCAGAGTTCAAAATAGAAAATGGAATAAAATTATTTGATTACATCTTTTCAAAACCATGTCTATACTGAAAGATTTATCTTGCATCTGGTGATGAAAAGCTGCTGCAAAAATCTCTCCCCTTCAGCAGCAAACGAGGTAAGATCTCAAGCATTGCTTGAGGAACTGCCTTTACAAGTCATTAGTAAACATTTTCCCCAAAGTCACAAGAATGAAACCCAAACTTATATGTTTTCATGAAGTTCTTTTGCTCCTTTTGGACGTGGTATCAACACTGTGCCACTCAATTTAAAGACAAACTTTTTCACCAGGAAAAACTATGTTCCTCCCTGCCGTGCACAGAGAGAAAAAAAAAATATCTCTTCAAAGTATAGAAGAGATCATTGCAAAATATTAGCTCTGCCAGTACTAACATACTAATCCTCCTTCTCTAGTAAAGAAAGATTGAAATGAACCTATCACCAACTCACATAGAACACAGACAAAAGCTGTGTATTTTTTATAGAGCAGGGGATCATGCCCATAAGATTTCCTAAATAAATTGCTGGAAGGCATGACACCCTATAGGGAAATACCTGGACTCCAATTACAGAGATAAATTCTTACTGAAGGAATGAGAAGGGCTTAGGGCTAATGCCAGGCAGAGGATCATAAATTACATTCTTATTGCAGAGTTGCCAGTCTGTCTAAATTGTACTGGAGTATTAAGTCAGTAGAGCAGAGGCCTGAGTCGTGATTAAAGGGATTCATGGTCAACATTTTTTCCTCCCTCTTCTGAGTCTTTTTATTGTGTCTCTTCATTTGCTTATACTTTCTTATATGCTTCCTCCGTCATGTAAATATCTCTTTGATGCATAAATTCTTACAAAAATAATTATTACATTTAGAAACAATACAGGCATGACACAGAGGATCACTTGTGTCTTGATAGGCACAGAAGGCTCAAAAAATCACAACTAAGCAGTAAGCTATTATTCAGGTTAGGACTGCACACACAAACATGGCTTGCACTGGACAGGAAATCAGTGCACAGAATATAGTTCAAAGCCCATCTCCCACTAAGTTTCAGATGAAGAAATAACTGGCCTAAAAGGGAAAGGCTGCAGTTTGACATGGAAATTGACCTCAGCCTGGCAACAGGCCAATTCACTAGGAATTCACTTGGAATAGCATCTGTGGCAAAGACTACTGTTTGTGTATGCTAATTAATATTAAGTATTCCCGATACAACTTCAGCAGCCCACTAGGCCTTTGTGCAGCAGGTACCAGAATCAATGCAGCTTTTCAGTGAAGCGCCTTCCTTACAACCTCAGGGTCTTAAACAGCAGAGTCCTGCTAGTTTCTAGGTATCCATCACTAACATCTCTTCTGGCAGATAAAATGAGGTTTATATTCCCCATCCCTCAAGGTGCTGGGCACTCACAACCTTGCAGGCAGCTGAAACAATAGGAATGGTTTGTACAGGGAGACATGAATGCCACAGGCATACTTTGAAATTTGCTGAGTTTATCTGGCTGCCCAGTTGTGAATACCTGTGTCTCAGGACAAGTAGTGCCATGACTGTTGCCACTGACAAAATGGAGGCGGTGGGAGAGTAGGGGGACAAGGCAGAACTTCCCTTTTGGGCACCACTAAGCAGGGAAATCAGCCTAACCTGCCACTGGAGCCACAGTTCCAGTGAAATACACAGCAGAAAGATATGGGTGAAGAGCTCCCGTTTAGAGTTTCAGTTCTGGAATCATTCCAGGCCCAGCTCCTACCTCCTTAAGGGAGGACAATCTGTCATCAGAGAGCAGCAGCACGATGTAAAAGTTCAGCTGTTCCCTCTTCCCTTGATACCCCACCCGGGTAGAGCTTCAGCTATTTTCAGGCTCTTTCCCCTTTCATATCAGTCTGTCAGAGACTGAGCTCAAGCCTTTATCTTGGCACCTGCAGTGTTAAAAAGGGCTTAGAAAGTGGCTTTCCTTACTCAGGAAGCCTTAATGACCTATATTACACCTCTGCATGACTGATGGCTTAAAATATGAGCACATGCAAATTTAATGCTATCAGTGTTGGATAGGAAGCAATGACTGTTCAGAACACAGCAACGTCCTTGTGGTGAAAGCACCTCAGTGAAACCTCTGCCTAAGAACTCAGTGCTAGTACCTGAGAGTTAGTACTGGCTATGCACAGTTTGACACACTTCACTCAAATACACAGAAGAGTAAAATCAAGAAGTGTGATCAGAAAAGTGTAATCAAAATGAAAGAGGGGGACTGAAATACTTTACAGTACAAAATCTGCAAATAGCACTAACAAATGACTCCTAGAACAAGCATAAACATTCACCACACTAGAGAAAGTCATGCACACCTCGATACACAGGTCCTTTTCCTCAGTCTGTGTTAAGTCATTTCACATTACGCATTGCAAATGACCACTAGAGCTGAGCACAAACAATATGAGTCACAACCACATTCATTCCAAAAATTCTGACATCCTGTTTTATGTAGATATTCAGGGATCTGAGCGTTCACTCCAATCCCCATCTCTCCCCAGAACATTGTACTCCACCTGCCTGTTTTGCAGAGTATGTCTGTGCAAGGGTTTTGTGGTAATATTCTTTGGATGGATAATAGTCCTCCCTTTCTTTGAGGTGATACCATGTTGTCGGCCCTGTTATTTTTGGCTAAGGAAGAAAAACTGCCAGGACCATCACAATGTGTTGGAGAAAAGGCTTGTTCCTAAGTCATTTAACATTTGAGTAATGTAAAATTCACAACTTAAAGCAGAAGGACATTCCTAGAAGTCCTAACTCTTGCTTCAGGAAGTCATGCAGACCTAGACCTTTTCCACAAGTGCATAGTTTCTATGTGATTTTAGTTACTTCAGTTGTCTTTTTAAGGCAAATGCTAAACTTTGAAGTAAGGAAGAATTCCACTGAATTTAGGAAACTGAGAAGGGCCAATAGTTCACAGGTTTCTGGTTTGGTTGTGGGTTTTTTTTGGTTTTTTTTAAACTTCTCTTGGAAGCCATAACACAGAACTTATTTTTTATAACACACAAACACACACACACTTATTTAAAGATGTGGATATTACTAGTTAACAAAGTTTGTGGTAACAAGAAGTTAGGATGAAAAAGAGTAGGAAAGGGAAAAGGTTGGTGATTTACCTTTATGTAAATCAGTTCATGCAACACCATTTGTGATACCTTGCACCTTATCTCAATTATAGTCTTATCAAGTGGTGTGGGAAGACAGATGAACACCATCAGAAATTTAGAACACACAGAGAAACTTAGGAGAGCCTTAGAAAGTAAATTAAGGAGAGGACATAACAGTGTACTGAGGAAAGAAGGGTATAGAGCAGTTTACTACCTCCTGTTCTCTCCAGCTCAGGAAGCTACAGAGCGTTCAGCATCTCTCAGAAAGAAGAAAAAAACCCCAAACTTTTCTCCACAGGTAGTTAGATCGCAAAACCTTTCATTAGAAGAAATCATTCAATATATGGTCACCAATACTCACTTATTCCAAGTAACAAAAATGCTGACAGGGTTTTACACAGCAAGCTGATCTCTAAATAAGTCAGGTAGAGACGCGACTCGGGATAGGATAACTCACACACTAGAGCTTTCTCATGTTTCACCCCGATAATTGGATACCAGTCACTCTTAAAGGAGACAGGATGTCAGAGAAGGTGAACGGGCAACTCTGCTCGATGATCCAGCTGTGGTTTGATGGTGATGGAGCAGCTGACAGAGCCTTTGTGTGCTGCTTTTCTGAGTGGCTGTGTTCCTCCTGCAGAACCAATCCATGTGCACTGCTAGAGATGCCAGTCATGGCTGCAGAGGCAGTTTCCACTCTTTTTCCAGGAACTTAAAAGTTTCAAAACGTGTTTGGAAGGCTGAAAGATTTCACGCTCGCTCTCCAAGAATAAATTACTTGTTTGTGTAAATAGCTTTGATAATTAGAAATAATAGCTTGGATGAGGGAAAAGGGAAACTTTGGAAACTCAAATGGCTTTTTATTTTGAATAAACATGTAAGGCACTTAGAAATACAGCCATATTGCAAGAAATTGCTAAACTTGATAGACAGTCAAAACACCAATCTTTCTGAAGCTCTGCACATGCTCAGCAAGCTGGATGAAGATATCCAGCACATATACCAGTGATTCTAGTTTTACTTTTAGTCCTGGCTTCTCCTAAGCTTTATTTCAGATAATGAAGGCATTGTACTCAGCCGCTAAAAAGAAAGAGAAGAGTAGAAAGAATTCCTTAGCTACAGGTGACTGCTAAATTTTTTACTTTTTTTCTTTGCTTCTGCATTAGGTCATTAGGTAACTTCTAGTAACATTTTATATTCATAAAAGCTGAGATTTACAGCCCACAGAAATATACGAAAGCATCGTATCTACAGAAGCTATTAACAATAGGAGCTATTCTCCTAAATGTTACTTTCCCTCCCCAAATGATTTTCTAACATCAAAATATTTTGTTAATTTTAAAACATATTTTCAAATAATATAGGAATAGTATTGCCTATGGCTAACAGATTACCAAGACAGTTAATTATCACCAACTCTTTCTCATGCTTGAGGATTCTTATGCCAATAAGGACTTCACTCAAGAATCTCACAAAGCCTCAGTGTCTTGCAAGCAGAGGCTTTCTACTCTGAGTGATAAACACAAGAAAAGTAATATTATACTAATTGCTAGCCAGACAGTACTTCCTTCCAACACTCCCGACCTGTGTAAAATTCTCACTTTTCTTTGAATGGTAACATGATTAAGGGTGTAATTTGAGATCCTCTAGGGTAGGCTTCTCTTAACATTTGAAAAATCAAATAAAACCCTCACAGGTAGCTTTAAGAAAATATAAACCAGATAAGAATAAAGGTGAACAGGTGCAAGAAAAAGGATTAAAACTCTTTCTCCTTTGAGAAAGGTTGTGAAAAATTTCCAGGAGTTCTGCCAGCTTCTCTATTTATCTTCTGTAGTGTGCACCTGCTAAAATCTTGTGTATGACTGATACTCCTAATTAGGCAGCTCCATCACTTTTTCTAAGGACCCTCAAAGGAAAATAAGAAGAAATTCTGTGAAGTATTTGATTTTTTTTCTAGTTATCAAAATTGTAAAGGAAAACTGTCTTCCTGCAACAGGAAGACAGTAAGAATTTATGACTGAGGCATAAACTGAAGAATGATCTATTATGTAGTTATTTGAATTTTCATTGCTTTGGTGCTAGTCTTTTACACAACACTAATCCTGTGAGAATTCTCTTGCTACACTCAAATAAGTAGAATGCCTTTGGATTTTTCATGAAAAGGCATCACCAGTAACTTGTAAGGAAAAACAAAATGTTCTCAAGAGAGACTTCAATCCCAGTTCTTTGCAATAGTTGTAAGCACACTTTTCCAGATTCCTGCATTTGAATATTACATAACATCAGTTTAAGTAAAGACGTGCTAGGTTTTCTTTTTTTAATTCTAGAGGCTGACAGGTAAAGAAATAAATCATTACAGTCTCTCCATTCCCCTTTTAAAATTACCAATACAACTGTACCAAAAATACTGCTATGCTAAAACTCAGAGATGTTTGTGATTCTAATTAAATCCTACCTCCTTTATGAAAATCTGAGAAGCAACAGTATATGTAAACATTCCTCCACCATTTTTCAGAACAAATTACCAGAAAATATTATATATATTTAACATGCATTGAAATCCAAATAACTGCCTTTAAGCAAGAAGTCACTCAAGTAATTTTACATAGTAGCTGACACATATATTCATTGCCACTTTCAGCCTCAAACCTCCACACTCCCCATCACTGAAAATGGTGCTTTTGCAGGGTTATATCCTGCCCACTATCAGAATACAGCACTGGGACAAAAGATACTCCAAAACTGAAATCAACATGAGATCTTTCCAGACTCTTATATAATACTTCTAACTACAGAAATCACTGACTGAAGTTGCAATTATTTTCTCATTAACCCACTTGTGTTCCATACATTGTAACTTTAGCATCAAATTCTTAAGAATCTACTTGGCCTGAAAAATCATGACTCCACATTTAAAATTACTGAAAGGCTCTTGACTCTCAGGATTACTAACAACTGATCTTTGCTTTCTACAAACACTAGCTGTGACAAAACCGTCTTTTCAGTACGTGACCAAAAGTACAGAAAACCAAAGCCAAACACAATTACTTGCACCTGGTCATCTTTTCTCCATTGCCAGGTAGCTCTACAGCAGGATTAATAAATGGGTTTATATCTAATAAGCTTAAGAACAAAATAAAGAATCAAGATCAATAACTCTTGGAGAGCTGCATCATGTGTCCTACCATTGTAAGAGCTTTCTAGGCTCTTAATTTCTCCCACAGGAACTTCCATACTACTTAGTTGGTAAAAGAGGTACAAGATGTTGCTTTTAGAACTAAGATATAAAAAAGGGACACCCAGTGTCAGTATTTAAAATACTGAGAATCTGAACTTAGCTGGGGCTGGGGAACATCTTCCCTGGCAAATAAGCACGATTTATATTTGCAGTGTGGAAGGTGTTTGGGGAGTAGTTTAATCCCTAAAATGGCTAGAGAGCTATCTTGGACAGTTCAGCACTTTATTTAAGCTGATATGAAAGCATGCCTCTTTTCTCCAAAACCTTACTCAGTAGGCAATAAGCTTATTGAGCTTCACAGTACATCCCTTGGTAGGAATTAATCTTTTGATGTGCATCTTGTGGTACAGTGCTGTGATCCAAGCCATTGTAAGCAAAAGTGTCTTTTAGATCAAAAAGAATTTAGGGTTAGGGGGGACCAAATGGTGGGCTCTTGTGGTCCCACCTCCCTGCTCAAGCAGGGTCATCCTAGAACACATACCACAGGATTGCATCCAGATGGTTCTTGGGTATCTTCAGTGAGGGAGACTCCCCAACCTCTTTAGGCAATTTGCTCCAGTGCGTGCTCACCCACGTAGTAAAGAAGTTCTTCCTCATATTCAGGTGGAACTTCCTGGGCATCAGTTTTTACCCACTGCCTCTTGTCCTATTGCTTGGCACCACCGAGAAGAGTTGGCACCATCCTCCATCCTCCCTCCCTTCAGATACTTATAGACGTTGACAGGGTCCCCTCTGTCATCTCTTCTCCAGGCTGAACAGGCCCAGCTCCCTCAGCCTTTCCTCATAAGAGAGATGCTCCAGTCCCTTCATCATCTTTCTATCTCTGCACCAGAACCATTCCAGGAGCTCCATGTCTTTTACTGAGGAGCCCAGCATTGGACACAGCACTGCAGATGCAGCCTCACTAGGGCTGAGTAGAGGGGCAGGATCACTTCCCATGTCCTGCTGGCAATGCTCTTCCTAATGCACCCCAGGATACCACTGGCCTTCTTGGCCACAAGGGCACACTGGACTGTGGACAGCTGGTTGCCCACCACGACCCCCAGGCCCTCCTCAGAGAGGTATTCTTGCCGTGCCTACAGATATTCTATTGATCAAAACACTAAAATCAGTACCCTGAATTCTGAGATGTTTCAAAATCAAGATATTTCCATGAGACTGTCTTTTTAAAATTTAAACCAAACATCAGTCACAATGGAGGTATGCTCTATAATTAATAATAAAAAAACCTATATTCTCTGTGCTGTGTAATAATTTTACTGAACAAATAGCTCTCAAGATGTACTTTTCATAATTTTTATATACAAAACCCCATAGAAGAATAAAGCTTTAGGAAATGATTTTACAGAATATGTTGCAATTAATCATGGCATACTGTGTTCCCAGATATCAATACCAAACTCACAAATCAGAAGCATCTATCACGGAGCATTTAAAGTTGTAACATGCCCTTCTTGTCTTTGCAAATACAAATGATTTTTAAGATGCCCCACTGTTCAGCAGTAGCACTTAGCTTTCACCCAATGCAAATTAATCTACAAACAAGCACTGAAATCCTAAAGGTCTGATTTAGGGACCACATTCAGCATTGCCGCAGACATTTATTACACAATATTAATCTACTAAATGGAAAGTTTCTCTTTTGTAATCTTTGGGTAACTTAAACACATTTAGTAAAGGACAGCACACAAATATAACTTATAAGGTATCTTCTCAAAACAGTGAGTTTGTGCTAACATGCAGAATAACACTACTTGCAGAATTTAATTATTGTAGCTTTTAAAGCATTTGCAAACCATAGCTAGTACATTTTCTCCTTGACTATTTGATTCAGGGGCTATAGCACTTAAAACATAATGTTAGCATCTTCAAGGCTACATTAAATTAAAATGTAATCATACTAATCATAATTTACTTTTTTGTACTTAATTATTTAATTGTAGTCACATTTCATTAAACCAAACAGATAAAGTTCAGAATACTAAGTATGAGTGATTGTGCTTTATGCATTAATTCTATTGTGTCTCTAAAAAAACAAACAAAACAAAACCAACAAGCAACCTAACAAAACCATCCCAACTTAACAACCAAATTAAAAAATCTGACATAAATCTATTAAAAAGCCCAAACCATTGAGTTACCAAAACATTAGCAAGAACAAGGTTTCTGAAATATGCAAGCGTGATTACACTTTGAACTTTGTCATTTTAAAGCCTTTACTTTCACTGATGTAAGGTAATTAATTTTTACATCCCCTCTTCTTTCTCTTTAGATCACAGCAGAATTCAAACGAACAAGTGTGAGTGATTACCCACGGTTACTCTAAAGGGCAGACAACACAAGTTTACAGAAACCTCGACCAAGACTACAAGTAGTTACAGAACATAAAACAAGGTTAACAGATATGCCTTCTTTGGAATAATACATAAGAAGAGGTTTAGGAATTTTGTATTAAAAGCTCATTTCAGATTATGCAGTGTTTTCTCCTCCCTTCCACCAATCTGTGAAATAAAGTGGTAAACATGTTCTCTTCAATATTCATTTCGGAAAGAGTTTAGTTGCAAAATGATTATACTTACATAAATATAAAACCACATGATAAAGCAAAATATTTTTAATTAGTAAGCCAATCATAAATAAATTGACCTAAAATTAACAGAAGAAGCAGCTGTATTCCTTCTACATTGATACATTTTTTTTTAGCATGTTTTAATAGTCAACTTCATTGTCTAGCCTGGGACAAAACAACTCATCATCATCGAGCACTCAACAATTCTGCACACTGAGCTAAGTCTTTTTTTTTTAGTTACATTTTTTACATTTTCTTTACAAATGTAATACTTATGTACATTATATATTTTATTTCTACAATTGATTTACTTTACTGAAACTCTACAACTTTCACAGGGAATTTGCTGAAGTCTTTAGTAAATATGAATCATTCCTCTTAAAAAGAAATTCATATAAACAACCAACATACACCACTGCCCTTTGACATCTCTGTTAAGGATTTGGATCTGGAAGGGCTACTATAATAAATGTAAGAAAAAAGGCTTTACCTAATTGTACATTTTGTTAAGAAATATCATCCCACATAGCTACATAAACTCACCAGCTTGCAATAAACAGAGCACCATACCGCTGCACAACTGGATACGTGTACAAACCAATTTTAAAGTTTACTAGTGAAACAGCTTCATCACTCCTAGCACTTTGAGACTGAAGTAAATCTGCAAAATTCTTTTGGAAATGTATACTTCTTTAGCTGTAAAGCTTCCAAAACAGTGCTGTCACTGTATATTGTGAAGAACAAGCATCCACTTCTGTAACTTCCCATATGCTTCTCTCAGCCCATGCTTCTGTCTGAAGTCAGAATTTTTCTTCTATTTATTCCTTGGTCACTTACAAACCTGCTGTTGAATATTAAGTAAGAACTCGTAATACGAGAAAGCTGCTTCTGTCCGATCCTCAATTAAATGCTGAAAAAAATCTGTTTTGGCAGGGTTCTCATCTCTGAAAGAAGAGAGGAAGGTATTGAGCAAAATCAAACACTGAGCAAAAAAAAATCCACTGCAAAATTCAAACAGAGGCCTAAAGTCTAAAAAATTGCTTACTGTCCTTTGGAATCTACATTCAGTCCAAAGATACTAAAATTGCAAATAATCTAAAGTCTAGGAAAAAACCCTAAAGTTTGCAATACACTATCAAACAGCAGCATCTTTTTAAGAAGTATAAAATGGTAGAAAAACAGGTGAAATACAGTACCTTGTAGAAACACAAAAAAGCAAATGTAAAAATTATTTTGTGTTAGAAGTTAACAAATATTGGCGGTGGCAGTGAAAAAAGGCAAAAAATTAAATCTTTGGTTACCTGTAATCTCAATCTCAACAGAACAGAGAAGGTAAACAGGTCAAAGACCTAGTATCCATAATTATTGTCCCAATAAAAATTACCTGGGACACACTCCTCTGTACTGGTATTGTACAGTGTGCAGCAAAGCTCTTCCTATTTACTATGGTCTCTCAGAACTACTTGCAACTCAAGCAACAGCCATCATGCCAACAGCTGAAGAGCTTCAGTCCTTTATTTCAGCATTATTTCTCTAAGCAAGTCATCATACTCTCTAAAAGTGATCTCCTGCCCAGCTCAATAAACTGAGTATTCCAGAAGTGAAATGTAGTCTCAAGTATAATAATTTTATTGCATTTAAACTTCTTTAAGTGGGTCTTGGCTTGATAAGACTTCAAAACTTGCCTCATCTACCATAAATCAGCTGCTGTCCTATGGAGTTCAGTAACAAATACATACAATCATTTACCCATCTACAGATTACTTACTTTACTTCTTTTTTATATGTATATATCGAAACTATATGAGGTGTAACAGAAATTAAGCTGGCTAAGTCCACTGACCATAAGGACATCCATTGCTTTAGTGTATTCTTAATATAAAAATATGCAACTAATTCCTACCAATAAAACTATTAGTAGTTGAATTCACACTAGCTTTAAAGATGACCTTTGTCACTAAGCAGTTTTAGATAAACAGCATTATATCAACTGCAAAGGTGATGTTATTCAGATATAAGCACTTTTCATCAGTTTTAATCAGAAACTGTAAATACAAGCTGCCATTAACAACTTAGTATCTAACAGAAATACTTACTTTATTACTTGAAGAACTGGACTTAAAGGTCTACTGTCTCTAAGCCAAGATATAAAAGATCGCGTCCTTTCTGAAGAAAGAGCATCTACCTCAGGAAGCTGCGTCTGGTTGAAGGTAATGGAAAGAAGTCATCATCTTTTATTATCAAAACTATTTTAAAAACTATTTAGGAGAAATAGATCCTGAAAGTTGTAGCATGACTCAACCCACAATTTCTATTTAGAAATTAGCAACCATGGATTTATATATACAGATTTTTTCTTCAGCTTTAGCATTTAAGTACATCTTTAACTTAAACAGCATTTTAAGTGCAAAAGATTTTAGAAAGCAAGTTCATTTGAAAAGTCATCTTTTTGAAATGCTGCTTTGCAGTCTTCTTGCCTTTATCTTCCCCTGGCAATCAAGTTCCTACATGTTGTACTATGCATCACTGAAAAGATGAGCAAAACAAGAAGTGAAATCTGAATTGCAAGTAAATTTCAATGCAAAGATTTTACTGGACTACTTGGTTGGGGAATAAGGTTAAAAATTGAATTAAAGCCAACTCTTCAGCCAGTATAACCTTTTAAGACAATCAATATGACAAAAAAGAATTTATTTCAAAATTAAACTAGTTCCATTGTTATCTTTGTAGAATGGAGCACACAATTTAATTAGTTTTTGTCTCACTTTCAATATAACCTTTAGAAAAAAATTATCCTCCTTCCCCTATCTGAGTTCTTCCTGAAAACTCTATTAACTAATACTTACCACCACCAGAGGAGCCACTTTTAAATTGCCAATACATGCAAAATACAAAACTCTAAACAAGCAGTCCAATTCTACAGTAGTTTCTAGCTTACCACTCTTAATCTGTTCTTCTAATTACCACTTTTCACTTCCCCCCTTGATACTATGGAAGCTTTATGAGCAGAAAATCTTCCTATCTTTCTAAACTAACACATTTTTGGTACTATGTGAATATAATCATTTGATCCTGAACTTTTCTAGAGTGTCTAGAGACCCTTAAAAGGGTCCTTCCTTACTTGCCATTTGTTGGCATTTTGGAATCACTCCTCATGGAAGAGGAGACTTCTCTTTATTTCCTGCTCTGTTTCATACACTAGACTATAGGTTAGAGCATAAAGACCCCTCCACCAAAAATCACATCCAAGGGTCTTCGATGTTCTGATAGTTGAAAGCATTTTTTAACTCTTACCCTTACAGGCCTATTGTTTCATACCACAGATTCGGTATCTCACACTCAGATTCAGAGAAGGCTTCTGAAAACCATGGTAGCAATAAAGTAACTCTAATAATCACCATTAGACAATTTTTATATTCATTCTGTGAAATTCCTTCCTATTCTTGTGAATGCACATGTATTTCCATTAATAAAAATAAAGGGAGTAATGTAATGGAGCAACTCTTTGGCATTTCACAAATACCAAACTTTACATGTTTACGTTCTTTCCTTGAAAACATCTGACAACTTCTGTTTGGCTCCTATGAAACTGACAAGAGGTTAGAAGGTACCCAATAACCTCCCCCTCCCCAGTTCATAGTTACATAATTAAAAACTGAAAGTGCAGAAAAAAAGAGATTAAACACAAATTCCAACTGTAAGCACTACACAGATCAACTCAAATGCCTACCATTTTCTGTGGTACTGATGCATAGTTTGGGTATCCAAGGACATCTTTTATGAAGTTGTTATCGCAGTTTTTTCCAATCCAAATGTAAAATATCTGTAAGATACCAGAATCAGTTTCAGTAAAGGCCTTGCATACATTTTAGAGAAAGAGGCAAGTGGTGATGCAATAGGAATAATACCAGAATAATAACTTTCATGCAAATGAATCACTTGAGCACTCCAGTTGCACTTCATGCATACGTATCTATATTCATTATTTGCACATTTATTTATTAGTACGTTGGTAATTTTTAGAATAGATCATTAAACATAAAAAAATACAGGTAGAATGCAAATACTGAAAGAATGAGGATGCAGGACACATCTACAGTAGAACAGTTAATGCAGTAACTTCCCATGTTACCTCCTCAAATGAAAACCCTCAAATTTTATAAAGTCACATCACTGTATTGGTTACTGCACACTGACTTCCCAATCTAAACAAGTCATAGTGAAGTGTCAATTACCAAAACATATTATAGTAATTATTTCAGACATCTGGAGACAGATGATGGTTTGACATTCACACTCAGCCCCAAACTCATAAAAGGTTTAAAGCACTTTCTAGATTGCCATTTGAGTAGTGTAATGCTTTATCCAATTAAGTGTGTTTTAGTGTAATTTCTATGGATACCTTAAAATGTATCTACAAATTTTGTTCACTTTCCACAATTCCCTCACTTTTCCATAAAACCACTTTATTTGTGTGTAGCTGAGAAGGTTCCTGCATCAATGAGAAGTGTTTTGTTAAAGACTGTAGTATATGCAATTATAATAACCATAAAAGAAATTTTGGAAAATAAAAATACATTAATTCCAGAAAAAACACCCTGAGGTAAACACCTGATTGATACATTCTGACCTGATATATTCTGACTAGCCTATTATGAAAAAAAAAAAAAAAAAAGAATCAGCCTCTGAAGCCTCAAAGATACTCCTTGGATCAAAATATGAAAGCTTTTCATTGAAACACAGATTACTGTCAGGTTATCTGGAATGCTGATTCACTACACTGTTACTGTTGAGAGTTGACTGCTTTTAATAACATTGCATGCATTGCCTCTTTTTTCTTTAAAAAAAAATAGTGTGTGAAACTTGTGACTTTTTTAACTTACTGAACCACAATCCATAAGAAAAGCTCCTTCTCTTGTCAACTTCTCTGCAGACAACTTCTGAAGAGGTGGCTGAGGAACAACTCTGTCATTTACATGTATTGTACTCTGTAACAAAAACAATACTCAGTAACATCAGAATTTTACCTTTAAACAGGTAAAGCAAAACAGGAAAACCACTGCTGATCTCCAGCAAAATTCTGAGGATCCTCACGTAACCAAATACCATGTTAAGCCTAAAATGATTATGTATACCACGCAGTTCTAGAATGTTACTTAACTTAAAGCCTACTTTATGACCTAAAAAATAATAATGGAAGTTCATTTAGGTTGCTTATGTAACATTTCTGATGCTACAGATGTCAGTATTGCAAAATAATTCTAGTGTTGATCCTTGAGTGTCAACAACCTCCACTGATTCTTTTCATTGCATTCAACTTTACTAGAAATGTTGCAAGAGCAGAACAGCATCAAATGGTACTTCGCTGTAAGGGTTCACTATTTTACTGCATTCAATTAACAGCAAGTTCCTTGATTTAACATCCTGCTTGAAGTGATCCACAGGTTTCTCCACAGAGCACTGTGACTGATCCGACTAAACAATCTGGCTGTTAGCACTGACATTATTAAAAATATATCCTCCCCCAACCCAACCCCCAGTATCTTCAGATAAGAGCCGCTTCCCCCTCAAATACAAAAATAAGATGGATATCTTAGGAACCTGTGAAGCATTCTACAAATAATGTAGGGAAAAACAGTCTACAGACTAAGCACATCTGCGTGTAGTAAAAGATTGTTAAAAAAAATAATATCCCTATTTAAAAATTTCATCTTGTAATGACAAAGATTAGAAGCTTTTGGGGATTTATACGTAATTATGAATATGAAGCTACTGAATTCCACTTGGGAAAGGTCCAGGCTTTACTCAATCATCTCAAGAATAAAGTGTTAAGAGGAAGGAAATGGACAAAAACATTAAAAATAATTCCGTAATATATATAATGTTCTAAAGAAACAAGAAATTTAAGAGCAGCCTCTGTCACAAATACTTTAAACTCAAGTAATACTGAAAGATTAGCACCCTGTTATATGACTTAAAATGTGTTTTGTCAATTACTTTCAATAGGTGGAATAAGCCCTATTTTTGTATTATAGTACTAGGAAAAAACTATTTCTCAAAATTACTAGAAATAACTGGCCTGAAAGCCTCTGCTAATAAAACAGGATCTCCTAAAGACACTGGTGGTTCCTTACAGGACATGCACACTGAATACAGCATTTCAATCTAAGCGCCTCAAAAAAAACTTAACAAGGCTAGTTGAAGTTGGCTTCTCAAATACTAGGAAGGGTGGAACATAAAAAGGCTTAACTAATCAATTCCTCTGAAAAATACTGAGTTTAGACTTGCCTATCTGAGTTTATGAAATATCTCAAAAGAAACTCCGAAAACTCAAACCAAATAGGTCAGAGGTTGTGCTGAAGAATACCAATGCCAGAGAAACAACTTAGTTTATCATATAATACTTAAAAGCAAACTCCCACACACACTTTTCCAAAGGTAGTAATACAAACCCATGAAAACTTACTTAAAAAACCCCTTAATTTTTCAATTATAACTAACTTTGACCTCAAATAAAATCCTGTCTTGCTTCTTACTATTAAAAAAGTGTATCCATTTCCTAGGTTACCTCTGTAGAACTTGAATTAATGAAATCTGGTTTCATGCATGAAATACTCTCTCAGTCTGATCATGACCACTGAGAAGTACAATTCTGTTTTATCCACTTCAGTCTAAGAAACCACTAGAAGGCTGTTACTGCAGGCAACTTTATCTGATTTCAGTACACAAAACCTAGAATCATCCACTAGATCTATCTCACCCATTTCTAACAGACAGGTGTAAAACACAAAAACATACTGAAGATGTTTCCAATGCATAATCTTCTCTGCTTTTGTTGTATAATAGAAAAACATGGAATTACTGTGTCCAGTGAAACAAGATTAAGGAAAACCACAGTTTTGCTCATAACAGACTACTGTACTTGTAACTCAAAACTTGAAAACAAATATTTTTCTTGATTTTTTTATAACTTCTGGTCAATTCTCCACTTATATTATAATAACAACTTAAGTTATTACAGCACAACATTGGGTTTAACAGACCACTAAAACTAGAAAATGCTATGGACAGGCTTCATACATTACCTCATCAGTCAACTTGTCTATTCTGTACAAGTTGGGATGTATCATTTTCATCAAATGAACTAGAGGCTGGCTCTTCATCTGGCACATTGCATATACACGATCATCCAAACGTGTGCTCGTGCCTGTCCTGAATGCTTTCTGTAAGAGAATAGTGTTGCTACTCAAACAAACCCTGTATTTTGTGTCACATCTAAACAGTGCATTTCAGAATTTTGAAAGTGTCGAGCAAAGATGGCAAAGCTTTTGTAAAGAAATGTATCTTACTGAGATAGATTAGAATCTGAATCATAGAGCTTGAATAAAGTAAGTTTAAAACATAATGCATTCTCCCTCCTTACTGATAAAGGAGGGATAAATTTCCCCCTCAGTTTGTCTAAAATTTGCATGCAATTGAGCCAGCATTTCTCATTTTTAGTCTTGACAAATGCTACTGTCCTCTGAAACTCACCAATACAAGCTATTATGGAAAGATATGAGACGAGCAGAGTCCAATCAAGACACTTACGTGCATAAGATTAACTCTGATTTTACAGGATTAAGAATTCAATGTTAAGGGAAATATACTTTCACGTTTCATAGTAAAAACTAGGCTCTCATAGGATAAAATCTGGTTTGTAACTCCTTCCTACTGAATTTTTCAGATCCCCTTTAAAAGCAATTGTTAAACGATTGTTGTGAGAAGCAACAGAATGAAGTGAACTTCATGTTCTGGCTCAATGGAGAATATTCCTATAATCAAAGTTCACATTCACTTCTACAGTCCTCCTTGGTTGCCACAAGTATTTTGGTTTTGTTTGGTTTCTCTATATCCCAGGTTTTCCTGTTGTTAAGAAAGATAACAAAAAAAAATGAAAACCAACCCCTGAACAACTTGTTTTCTCAGCCACTCTTATTTCTGTCTTTTACATGGATCTTCTTTATAATAAATGGTCTGGTTTTTACCCATCATTAACTACATTATTTATGCAAGTACCAAAAGATCATAATCAATGTATTAGAGGCTGAAGTAATCACTAAGCCAAAGAAAATAAGTGATTATGATTACATCTCTTACCAAACTTGCATAAAGGTTTATTCATCATAACAGAACAAACAACTCTCAGACATGAAAATCTTTAAGCTATGAGATTTATTCATAACAAAACCCTGCAGTAAGTTCTTTTTATGTATGATGTTTGGTAATCCAAAAGAAAAAAACTGTAACTACTTCTATGTGACCTTTAAACTATATCACTTGAGTTTCTGTAACAAATTTCACCTTATCTCCATGGAAACCAGTTTTTCTTTTTGGAACTTCAAAGTACAAAGTATATGTATTGAAAAATATTTAGCTTGTTTTTCCTCCATAAAATAAAATTGAAGAAGTACTAATAAGCAGCTTTCAACAATCTACACCAATGAGCTGCCAAAATCTGAGTAATGCTAACTGTAACAGTATAGACATACTGCTTTTCATTGTAAAACAATATAAAACATAAAAAAATCAAAATGAAATAAACTAATGAATGGTTCAGACACCAGTAATTTAAAATAAGCGAATATAGTCATCTTCTACATGACAGTCCTGTAAGCATAAAGATAACAACACAATTTTCATAATTTTAGAAAAGTGTGGACATTGCTTGACCTAGAAATGAAGAATTCCTCAAATGGAACAATGAATTAAATATCAAACATTAATCCACTAGATTATACATACCTGTTTGAGAAGAGCCAAAATATAGAGTGGAAACAGCTTGAGGGAATTTGGTGCTATCAGCATGGATTGCTGCAGATTTGAGGCAGTTGACATGTATGCTGCCAAGGAGTCTACCACGGCATTAACTAAGGCATCTCTTGCATCTGCAAGACTAGATGAAACTGAGCGATCCACAGCTGTTTGGGGTAGAAGGATAGAAGAAGTTATTAGAGATGGCCTCATTCATTCCCTTGAATTTTGAAAATACTAGTTGAGTTTCTGGGTTATGCTTTAAGACTAAAAAAACCAAAACACCCCAAAATCACACCTGAGATCCTAATTTTTTTTAGGAGCAAAATAGATGACTGTCCATACTGGAACTCACTTTCACAATTCTTAAAAATACAGTGTGGCTGTATAGTTTGGCTATAAAAATACAGTTTGGCTCCATAGTTTCTACTCTTGGACAACTGAAAGAAATTTTTAAAGCTGTCATATATAGTTAAGTCTATATATAAATCCTGTTTTAAACCTTACACAAATAACTTTGCTATTGCTGCAACTCTGCTGCCCGACCTCCAAGATAAGATTTGCAGCAATTAATTTGATTTCGACACCACCCTCCCCCCAAGAAAGTTCTCATTATTTTCTCCATTATTTCAGTGGCATAATTGTGATAAATGTAAATGCAGCTTCACCTTTCTCTGCTGAGCAAGGGCTGCAAATTCTTTGACTGGAGAAAGCCACCTGCTGGACTGAATGTGCATTTAAGAAGATGACAGAACTGTTTGGGTTTGAAGGGACCTTAAAGATCATCTAGTTCCAGCCTCCAAATATGTAGATTTATTTCTTCTAATTGATTTCACTACTAATATACAACATAGCTTTTACTAAAATGCTGCACAGAGTCACCCATATTCAAATGGCAGAGATCAGCCTATGAAACAGATACTTATGACCTGCAAGTTGGGAGAATAAGAAACCTCAACCCAACAACAGAATAGAAGCAGAGAAAACTAATACTTAGATACGCTGTTGTCAGAAGTTGCCTTTTAGTCTCCAGCAACTCACTAAACTGAATCACTGTCTCTTAAGTAATCCTAGACTGCTTAAGTTTGAGATTAAAAAATGAGAGTTTTGATCCAAATATTCTTTGTTCTTTAATAAACTCTAGAGAATGTAAGAAGGCTCCTTTTTAAAGATTAAGGTCAACCAAGTACTCAGAAGAAGGAGTATTTCAGTTCACAGTTTCAGTATAACTGATTTTGTCATCTTTTGCATTCTCAGGCTTCAGTGTGCTCCAGTTTAATAGCCAGGTTTCATTCACTATTTCATTTAAATGGCTGGTAAAATTAAGAACATACAAAGAAATGCTTGAATCTTCCTGGTCTGTACTCACCCATGTTGGCTAAGAGGCAGACAACTGCTTGCACATCTGCTCCTGCATATACATCAGCCAGCGAACTTACTACGGGCAAGCAAAGTGTGTGCACTCGAATGCGACGTTCACCTAAGAGAAATCAGTGGAAATCATTATGCATTATCTCCTGCTAGAAGTGTACAAATTCAGTCTTTACAGCACATCTACTCTCATCTAAGATGCACCCATTTTATAGTAACGTACCAGTCAGGAAACTGATTTAACACTGTCTCTTATTCCTGTTTCAACCTGTTTGAATTCTGCTCTAAAGCAGCACAAGTTGAGTTACAACGTCCACAATGTCTTGATCCTACAAATGAAGTACATGGATTTCCATCCCAAAATTTTGTGGCATCTTCCAGTACAGAAATTAGCTGCTATTCCTTAATGCCCACCCAATGTAGTAGCAACTCGTTCCAATTAATCACAAGTCTGTGAATTTGGACAAAGTGCCTACCAAACATGTTACTGCTTGTAACAATGGTATGACTTGTAAGTAAAGGATTCTTGCTGAATCAGATGTAAGATGGAGATTAATCACATTATCCCATCAAAATAGCCTTTATAAGGATTTCCATTATGTGATTAACTGCCAAGTAGGCTCACACAAGCCTTGAAAAGATTCTCTTAGGGTACAGAGAAGGACAAACGGCTGTGGAACCAACTATACAAACATTATGTTACAGAAAAAGCCCATTGGCCAATTCATTTGAATTTATTTACCTTTGCTGGAAGTATACAAAAGAGCTGTTTGAAAACAAACCAAAGATGTGTCAGTCAGACTCTCCTCGATGGACATTTGTACTGCAAATCCAGCATCAGGATTGACATTAGCAAGGGACAACAAATCAGTAGATCGTACAAAAAAGTTCCCATGGAAAGTGTGTATTGAAAGACCTAGAAGCAGATTAAATAATTCAGAATGAGGTTAAAACAGCATGGAAAACTCTTATCAATAACTAAAATCCACAGCCCTCAAGCTAGGTTTAAGAAAACAGTAAAAATTCCATCATGCAAAATCAATTACACAAATCATTAGACATTTCAGCATCATCCTGTAGAGTTCGTGTTCGATTTTGAACGCTCCAAACTGAATGATGCCCTTAGACTACACATGTCAATTGAAAGTGAGATGATGCCATCAACTAAAGAGCAAAACAACAAACACCAAAAGCTAATGTAATTTACATAGAGAAACCAACTACCTTGCTCTTCAGAGAAAAAGAAATAACATGAACTTCAATGTTGCTATAGACTCAAGCACAATCAAAATGATCGTTAATGTGCTTACACCAACTTTCCCATATGAATTGGTATTTAAGACATACCTTTTGTGCATCTTATGCGCATAACTGCTTCAAATCCGATCTTTCTTGTAAGGTATCTTTTCAGGTCTTTTTGCAACTTTTCGGCCTGAGCAGGATTATGGGTACGGTGGAAAGATGGATAGTAATAGATGCATCCAGCAGAATACTTGGACATGCAAGCTGCGAAGAAAAGATATGGTTAAGAGGTAAAATTGTAACATGATGTCAGGACACAAAAATTGTGTCCAGCCTTCCACAAGACACATCTATCTTCATCTTTTTCTTCATATGACCCACACCTATAAGACAATCAGAACTGGCCCAGCCTCAGGCCACCGAAGACAGTCATGAGCCACCCCAATACACAATGACCTAATTATACACTGAGCTCAAGAAACACGCCTCCTTTGGCAGCGAAGACTGAAGCGCCTGCAGAAAAATTCAGTGGTGTGGAGGCAAAATTAAGTGTGTGCACAGAGACAAATCTTGGATTAATATCAAAAGATGAAAACTCTGTTCTAGCCCTATGATTAAACTTTATTTATTCCTTGCCATCTGGCTGCTTCCTGTTCTTGAGCAGGAGAGTACCTTCTCATTTAAAACTGTGAAATCCTAGAATAAGTTGTCTGATACCACCAATACAGTATTTCTGTTCTTTATGGCTCTCAACTTCAAAGTCAATTCCATTGCAGCATGAGCTGCAATAACCAAAGTGCAAAAATATTTACATGATTTAAAAATTCCTGAAGCAGCCTATGTTTCTAGAGAAAAGACAACAGTGCAGAAAGAGGTAACGAGGTACTCCTTACCAAGAGAAGCTAGATCAGAATATTGTGAACTTAAGAGAAATAAATCCACAGCAGTCTGCTGGCCTGAACAGTCCAGTGCCAACTTCTTATAAAAGTCTGTTGCTGGACCAAGATGCTGGACCACCTTTAGTGAATAAATCATACAGGGAAGAGTTAAGACAACAATCGTGCTTTTTCAGAGTTCATGGAACAAAAGACATACTATTCAGCAGCAAAGTATCATAAGAAAGTTTCCTTTAAATACCATACATGTGTGATCTTAAATGTATAAATATAGATATAATTTAACTTAGTGAACTGCTATAAACAAAAATCAAGCGTTGATCTGCAGAACTACACAAGTCAGAAAGACATGGTTAGTCCTTAAGTCTCATGAAATGAATATTAAAGGAAGTTTTTTACCTTTGTGCTTGACCTTTGATTGGGATCTTCTCTGGAATGCAAAAGCCCCGCTCCCAAGGATGGTAACTGAGTTTGAAAGACAGATATCCGACCACCCGTTGGAGACATCAGTTTAAATGCAGCCTGAAGAGCAGGGCCCAATGCACTGTGTGTTTCTCTTGTATTGGTGAACATATTTGGTAACGCATTCAATAGATCTTTTATCAGCTGCAGAACAGATTGAAAGGCGTTTTATGAGCTTTACAAGCTTGAGATTTTCTGCTGTTTTTAAAAAGCTCTACTGCCATAACTGAAGTGACACAACCTGTACCAAATATTTCAGTTTACACACTAAGGAAAACAAAGGCATAATTTTAGAGGTTGTGATGTATCAAACAAATTACACGTAATACTTGTATAATTAAAAATTAGCATTGGAACTACATATTATGGAGGTAAGTTTGAATTCAAAGTTTAACAGGAACATCTAATTTGAATATTTAACTCTTCAAATTCAATTATATATTTTAAGCAATCATACCTCTTTGCTTTCATGGAGATTTACAAGTAAACTATCTGGTGTAGGCAGGAAAATATCTGCAAGCAGAATGGAAGAAAACATTAAAGAAAAAAATACATTAAAACAGAACAAAACATTTCACTGCCCACTGCTACTCATACCATGAAATAGTCTATTTTCTGATATGTGTGTTAGGGAGAAAAATACAGCCTATACAAAGCTTGTCTTATTCAAAGCAAAATTATGTTTTGAATTTCACATTTTAAACATCACCTACTCTACAGTTAGTGTAAGACTACTTTTCAAAAATATATTCATTATACATTCAATAACATTGACTATCAGAATAGTTGAGAGATTCTAATCTTTCTTCTGGAAAAAATAAATAACAGATTCTCCAAAATTCAGCTTCCATTTTCTTTTTACTTACCATCAATATCTGAGACAATCAGCATCTGAGGCTGAGATAAACCTTCTTGCAAGTTGTAAAACTGAACAGTGCTGTCAAACGTTATGAACCCTATTCTTGTTCTTGAGTCTCCAGGCAGCCTGAAGCATTGAAAAATAAACTATTAAGCCCTAAATCTCTCTCTCAATACATATACATACTCTGTCAGAGCTCCTGCTGATGTTAGCAGAAACTCAGCTCTAGTGTACAGGAGTGAAGGGAGAACATAAGAAAAGAGATCTGAAACATGAATACAAGTAATATTCCCTCAGTATTTTCTGAAAAACTGGAATAATGAGTTTACAAGATCAATGTTATGGACAAGCACTCACTAATATATTGATATTTTGCTCCAAGAAGGAACCGAATAGGTTCATTTGGACATTATATTGACACATGAAAGAAGGTAGTTCTTCAGTAGAAAACAGTGCATTTTGCTCTTTTGTAATTCAAAACACCCATTTACTAATGTAGTTACAGAGTACTTACAACTCTAAACTGAAATCCAGTATCTTTACAATGCAAGATAATTATTGCTCATGGGGACCATATTTCAATAAATAGCATTAAAAATATAAAATTAAAAACTAAAAGCAATTTCTCAAATAGAATATAAAATATCAGCAAGTGCTGAAAACCATGACAGCGACCAAAAGCAATAAAGGTAAGTATTATTGTTACCATCTAGGTATATAAATGAACTGGATGTATCGATTTTCCTATAGACTTTGCATGGGATTTTATGGATTTTCCTAAAATAATTTAGCATGTTTCTGAGATCCTGTTAACAAAATACCCATAAAAAACTGAACAAAGAAGGACTGAACTAATTAATGGAAGAATTTTATTGTACATACTGGTTTCTTCATTAGAAATTAAAATCAAGTTCCCCAAGAAAAATTTGTAGGAACAAATTTGCAAGCCTTCACAGGATTAGTTGTCAAAAGACATGAACACAGTGAAGCTTATCAACCCTCACTCAAAAAAGCACCAGCAACAACCCCATGAATGCTGTCCCAGTGCAAAAACGTAAACAGATAGAAAGTGGCACAGGTAGATCTAGGTAACTGTGATCTGGAAAAACCAAACTGACAACAAATTCACCTAGGCAGTGTCACACTAGGGGTTACAACATTCCAGTATGCAGCACCATGGCCATTTCAGCACAAGAACCAGACAATTTAATCCCTGTAATTCAGTTCATTTTTGTTGCTGTCGGCAAAGGGGAACACCGCAGTGTATAGATCTTTGTACAATCAACATGCTGCTAAAAGTTATAGCTAAATATTCTTTGCTAAATAAGTAAGTAAATTATATGCAGATACACCTTTAACCATATGCAGGGAAGATATCCCTCACCATATAAATTGCTTCAACAGCTGGGGTTTTTCTGGTTTTATTTTTTTTTTGGTTGTTTGGATTCTTTGGTGGGTTTTTGGCTTTGTTTTTTTAGAGATGTAAGCTGCATTTCAGAATTCCAGGCAACTGAACTTCTGCCCTTTAGGGACAGGATGTTTAGACACTATATGCAAGTTTTTTTCAAAATTGTAAATTACTATTGTTCATAACAACATGTCAGGTAATTTGAAAAAATTGTTTATACTCTTACTTGTCTAGGTTTTCCAGCAATGACTGGCAGACTATTGTCAAATATCCAGCCTCCACTGCATTATGAGACACATCTAAAACAAATAAATATACCGCAGGCTGAGGAGGACGAAGCTACAAAGTAAAAAAAAAAAAAATAAAAAAAGTTTAAAAATCATATTAAAAGAAATGGTAAAATTGATTAATCATTAGAAAAAGAAGTAGTAAAAGGGAATACTTAGAAAAATGCCAAGTATACAGTATGCAATAGAAGCAATTTACTAAGAAACATGCGGATAGACTTAACCACAATTCCCAGTGGTTTAATAAATATACAGTGTTATACTTCAGAAAAAAAATTTGGTATTTTAGTCCGTCTTTCCAGCAGTCAACTCAGACATGACATTGAAGAAAGATATGGAATTCACTCTTCTGTACTCCACTGCTCTTTCAGTGTGATACATTAAACAGGGTTAAAACATTCTACCTACATCCTTTTCCCAACTCTGTAACGAGCTCTGTTTATTCACTGCCAAATGTCTCTGCCACAATGTTTCAATTAAAAGACAAGAGAACAATTTATTTTTAGTGCTATTAATAATGTCATTATGGACAAGGCCTTTTCCCAGGCGTTGTTTAACTTTCTTGGAGACAAGACTACTATCACAGCAACTGTAAGCTGACTACTAATATGAATAATTTCTGTCACAATTACTAACTGAAAATTTGAAGCTAAATTAATTTGCTAGTTATTCCATTACTGGTCTTTCAAAACCTCCTCAAAACAATTGGGAAAGCCAGAAATTACATTGCACTGGCTTCAAATCTGACTGTGCCACATTAAACTACACTGGATGACAACACACACTGAATTGCCTTTAACTGACAAGCCTTTCAATGTCTGCATTAGCAAAATCTCAAAATATGAATTTTAAATATTCTTCAGTGTTAAAGAGGACCTTCACAGGAAAATTAATACACACCACTGGAGCAATATGCAACATTAATTTCTAAAGCTTTTATATTAACATGCAATTGCTCTTGCTCAAGTTACCATGAAAACTTTTTTTACCATATAGTCTGAGGAAGCAATGAATTCCACTGTAGAATTTTGCACCTCTGGCCGTTTATGAGGTTCTCCATAAGACCGTGTCAGAGGATTATACATAAATTCTTCAGGTACTATAAAAAAAACGTAATACAGATTATATTTTTGTCAGCAAATAAAAAAACATTATTGCAGCTACAAGCAAAGTAATGTGGACACGTTGCAATTATCACAACAGGAAAAAGTTCACGCTAAGGATACATAAAATGAAGGAACACTTCAAAGTGTTCACTTTGAAGCAACACTTCAAGTAACATCCAAGTTAAGTAACTGGAAAGAAAAGAAGGTTTATTTTAAACTCAACTATAAAACACCAGTGCAAATAAAGCATTCCACACCAAGCAGCAATCTGTATTGCTTCTCATAACCCCTGGCCTGCATTGCAGACAGTAGTAGCTGTCATCATGTTTCCATTTGCACATTGCAACAGCAGTCAATGGAATAAGCTGAATTCATTATATGAGTAATCAGCATTATATGAATACATTTTCTTCATCTTCCAGAAGACTGCAAAACACATTTGAGTTAATATGTTTTTCAAAGTCTCTGGATCGTATGAACACTGGCACTTTAATCTACATTTTAATCTAAAGTCTTCCATGGACTGGAGTGATGCAAATGCTTGAAAGAGATACTATAAATGCAAGCATCTCCTGCTAGAGAAACTTACCATCATTAACTCTATAGCACAGATTGCATTTCCACCTCCTTTGATCAATGAAAGAAACAAAAGGGTTGATGTATGTCCTGCAGGATCTGCATCTTACTATTGTGCTTGATGTTATTACTGGTAATTGCTAAAAAGAAACAATGGAAAGCTGTCACAAAGGTATATGATACATTTCATGGAAATGTGCAGTACAATTCATAAAAGCTTCATAAGACTACATATTCTATCATCTTTCCTTTTAGCTTTTTAGTTTATTTTCATACAGAGTAATTATGATGCCTTACTAAAAACAACTTCCCCATTAAAATCAAAAGAAATAACATTTAATTATTGTCTCAATCTAATATCACAATCAAAGATGTAGTAAGATTTTGAATGAAATGACTATAAATTAGAACTACTACGGCAAGAATTATGAAAGACAGGAACACTTTGAGTGACTAAATACAACAGACAGCAAACCTTACACAAAGAACACATTTTATAAAAAGAAGTTACACCAGACAGTTATTCACCTTTTTACATAAATACTAACAAATCAGATGGCGAGGAGGTGCTTAACACTTATAAATACATCTTCAATCTTACACTGTGCTTACTTTCTACTGAAAGCATTTATCAGGCCAGTAACACACTCAACATGAGCACAAGAGGGCTCTGTAAACATCTTTTCAAGAGATATCTGACAGTTGTGAGAGCTCAACACAGAGCAATAGTTCACTGCTTCAGAGAACCACAGGCAAGGTAAAATTTCTCCAAAGCTTCTCCATTATGAATTTCAATGAAGTAGCAATGTCAAGGTTTTTTTCCCCTCCTCCTAAGTCCCAAACAATTTTTTGGTACTTCTGTTAAATTAGGTCTGACTAGTTCATTGTAATTTTTTGTTTGAATGAAAACAGGACAAATGCATATATTAAATGTACACTCTAAAAAAACAAAAGTATGATACTTTACCGTTAGGTCCCTGAAAGGATGCAGCAACAAACCCAAAGGAAGCTTAGCTTTGTTTAACAAAGCCTGTGTCTGTGGAATATTTGTCAATGTACATCGAAATGAGCTGAAAGGAAATAAAAACATTACATTGAAAATGAAATTTTAAAAGATGTTAAAAACATTGTGTTAACACCAGATTTTAAAGAACTTGGAAATTTAAGAAATCCTGTGTTTTACAAAGCTGATTTAATAAAAAAACAAAATGCAAGGAGCTTTAAAGAAAGGCCTCCTAAAGAAACAAAAAAATAGTCCCCCCACTCCCCAGTTTAATAGTTCAGCAGTGCAAGTATACCAACACTAACTTGCAATAAAGAATCAGAACTGCTTTAGGTACAACATTCAATGTAAAACTATGTATTTTTCTGTTCATTTTAAAAATTTTTCCAGTGAAGGAAATACAGAAGGAATACAGTATTTACTAGTTCTCGGCAAGCAATATTCATATAAGAAAACAGTAGAAAAGGATCCCAAATACTGAGTAGAGTCAGAATCTTTTCTTTTGTGTAACATGGAGGATGGACTTCAAGCTAATTTAAGGGACACTAAAAAAACCCAACGCACAAACAGTGCTGTCCAAAGTGTTCCACACTTAAGAATGATTTCTAGGCCCTCAGCTTTCTGATTTCTGTTTTCTTGTGGGACTGTGTGCTGTCACTAGAGTAGTAACGGTCACTTTGGGCAACAAAGAATACTTATTTTGGTATTATAAATAAAATCATTGGGGAATAGCACTTGCTATTGTACCTGGTTGCACTTGACCTGGGATACTTGATAACACTAATGTTAATTAGAGGTAAAAGGATACATTATTCAATGTATTCAGGCATGATCATAATACTTTCCTGGAAAAAAATCTCGTGCAATGTTACAAAAATATTCTACTGCATAACATTAAGGTGTTTATTAAAAGATTTTTTTTTTAAATGGATAAAACATTAAAGGTGAAGATTAAGCAGACTTCTCAAAATATTAAGAAATAAGCTACACTCCCACTGCATATAATGTATTCTGATGGCAAGACAGTTTCAACACTTGTGTAAGGATGCAGAGGATAAACTTGTTTTCAAGTGAAAGAGTTTTTATTAACTCATTACGACCATTTTAAAGTCAGGAGTCAGTTTAGCCATTTTTTGACACTTTAAATAATTATTAGTTATTGAAAAACGTAAGATGCCGTTCTAGACACAGTACACTTACTCTGGACTGCAGTTTAATTTCCTAAGATCAGAATTCAAGTTAGGCACAGGTGCTGGAACTGAAGACACTGGCAAAATATTTCTATCATGTGTAAGGTTTACTGGTCTCAAGCTTTCTGGTTGCTGAGAATGCTGTAGACTTAACCCTCCTAAGGAAGAGGACAGTTGGTTCACACCCGGATATTGCTGAAAAAGGTAAGAGCATGACAAATAGGTAAACACACAATTATGTTTAAATAACATGATTTAAACTTTCTTGTAGTCCCCTTTCTTCCAGACATGTATTGAAAAAAGATACAGTAGCAGTTAGTAACAAACCCAAATAATCAAGAAGAGAGTGGTATGGTAGAAATTTAAAAATGCTAAGACAAATGTGACATACCTTATAATATGTATCATTGGACAAAATTCGAATTCATGACACAAATGAACACAGGAAGTCAGCCGCATATAACCCTTCAATCTCTCCAGGCATAAGAAAACAAATAACTAGAAAAGCTGACACAATTTCCCTCCCTGCACTCTGCAGTGTAACTTTTGTTGCAATGTAACTTTTCCAAGTTACAGACACTGCTTTTATATATTTATTTTTAAATTAAAACCATAGAAGAGGAGAAAAGGTTAGATTGGAAGGCGCCTTTGCGGTCTGGTAGTCTAACCCCTTGTTCAAACAAGGTTATCTTAAAAGTTAGATTAGGTTGTTTAAAAAACAACTTGAAAGTTAGCTTAGACTTGTCCAGCTGGGTTTTGATAATACCTAAGAATTGCCAATTTCACAGCACAATCTGTTCTAGTTCTCCCCACTCACATCCTGAAGAATTCTCTCTTTATGTGTCCAACCAGAATTCACTTGCTGCAACTGCTCTTCTTCTATTGTGTACTCCTGAAAAGAGCGTACCTGCATCTCATGTTGTAGTGAAGATGAAGACAATCCTTTCAATTTAAAAAAAAAAAAATAATAATTTCTTCCAGGTCACATTTTAATTACCTCTAACAGTGAAAGCGTTCCTGGATATTATACTAAGTTATGGTGCTACACTCAGATCACTAAGGAATTGTGATCACCTACAACAGCAGTTTCACTCTATTTGCCAGCTGGCCCTTATTTCAGAAAGTGGGATTTGTAAATGTACGTTTCTTTTTGTTGACCCCTTCACACACACATTTCTCTACAGTGCTTCAGCATTTGTATTTTTCCTCACTGTCTGTCTCTTCTTCAGATTTCACTGCACTCAGGTGATTCACATGTATGACAGGAGTCGGGTGATTGTACACAATTTCTTGAGTGTTTGGTGCTCTCTTTACCAGGAAAATAGAGCAGATGCAGTCAGCCTGCTCCATCACACACACAGCCAGCACAAGCTCTGCAGAGCTCTTTTATGTGGACCCTATGCCATGCCTTGCTCATAAGGTCATTTAATGCTTGAGATCATAGCCTATAGAAGTGCTTGAATACATGCAGATCAAGTACCTCCTCATGCATCTTCATGGTTGCCTATCACTGAAGTTCAGATCTTTGAAACAAACCTTAAAACTGTGGATGCTGCTAATAACTGGTGAAGAAAACTTGTTCAGCTTAACTACTTGGAGGCACACTTAAAATTTTCATTCAAAAGCCTTCCAATGAGTTTAGATCCAGAGCTACAACATCAATATTATACTTAACATTTGTTGTCTCAGAAATTAAAAAAATAAAATAGAAAATACTGAAAGTAAAGGGGAAATATATCATGTAGAAAAAGGTTTTCCCAGGAAGTTCCTTGATGAAGTAACTTTTAAATTAAAAATACAAACCTGTGGATAGTGTTGGAAACCAGGATGGTGTCCTGGATTACTGGGCTGCACAGGAGTAGGTGGTGTTGCATTTTGGTAGCCAGGCTGCAGTGCTGGATATCCATAACCAAAGGGCTTTGAAGCTTTTGATGTTTGTGGGACTGATGGAGCAGGAACTGGGCTGCTGGTCACAGAACGTGTATCTGAATGGACAAAAGAAATCCCACAAGTATTGAATATACTTAATATTTCCTTCTTAATCTAAATTCCTAAATGCTTCACAAATCACATTTCCATTTGTACATTTTTTCATTATCCATCAAGTTATTCTTCTGCACTGAAAAAATAAATTAGCAAGGAAGATTACTGCAATTAGACTGACAAAGATGGCATATATGGGAAAATGACCACAGACTTGCGTTACTACTAACAAAATGTTGCCTTACAAAAAAGAGGTAACTTGAAAGAAAAGTATTTCAGTTGAATAAAAAAAGAAAAAAATTCTTAGAACCACATTTTATTACAATACATATATTTGATATAAACCACAAGAGACCATTCATGCTTAGTCTCTGTTCTACCACTGCTGAATACTGTCCAACATAAAGCTAAAATTATTCTATAATTCTACAGTGACTTCATTAAAAGCTGTGTCTACATTTAGAGAATAGTTTGGTCAGCTGAGCCTTATGTTTTCCCAGTATTATAAGTGGTAGAGGAGAAACTAAGCATAATTGGTCTCTTTTGCAGTTTATAACTCTGATGCAAGTTTTTCCTGCATATCCCTGCAGCACAGGGATATACAAAAAAAAGAGCCAGAGGGGTAGACCCTCCAAATGTATCCAATTATCATTTAAAATACCAGCTAACATACTTCGAATAGCATCTTTTCCACTTGTTCTTAATATGGCAGCTCTACAGATTTCAAGACCAAGGTAGTCAATCAGTAGGTTCATTTAGAAGCAACCTGACAATTCTGATATCTTTAGAGCTAAAAATTAGCAAAACAGGTGCCATTTTCTTTAAAGGAAGAAAAAGAGAAGAAGAAAACCTGATCCAAGCATCTCTGCAAGCCGATATTGTTGCTCCCTCAAGACTTCTGTGGTGTGTCAGCCACTATTAGAAGCTGCTACTGCCAACACAATCAGGCATACAGTATAATCTAGAAAAAGATGCTGCCTTCACACTTAGCATTACATGATTCAGGGAATTTTTATTAAATGGTTATGTCAGCTTCAATGTTAAAACTGTGAAGTGATTAAAAAAGGCATGTATGTTTTCTCTGATGATTTCCCTCATTCCTTTCATAGGCATTTCCTTTCATCTGATTGTTAACTAACAACAAACAACACCAGAAATAATAAAAAACCACATTTAAGCATTTAAATAAGCAATTCAAAACAAACTGCTTACCTGGATAGCCACCTCCTTCCAGGGCATCATAATTGTTCAAAACAGGAGAGGCACTGCTTGTAGTAGAGGAACTATCAAGTGCTGGGGGAGGAAAACAGTTTAACTTTAGGTACTTCAGAAACGCCAAACTTTTGATAAATAACAGACTGAGAATTTGTTTCTTAGTATTTGAATAGAAACTGTCAAGAAAGATCCTGGAAAGAAACCCCACCACTTCAGCCCTAATACATGAAAGCTATTACCACTGCAAAGAGGAGAGGGAGGAAGATATAATTAACAAGATACTAAAAAACAAACAAGGACATACCCAACAAATAGCAAGAGAGATCGATAGGAAAAGGACAAAAACAACGAAAAAAGTTCTTTCTTGAAATAATTTTTTTTCTATTAAACCAAAAGCTCTTTCTAGAGTACCTCAACTGAAGCCACGCACATTTTTAAAATATCCATTCATGACTTTCTTCACAAAGTGAAGATTGCAAACAGCTGAAGATTCCCATGATCTTCAGAGTGATTATGCACCATCCCCACCTTCAAGCCAAACTGTCAAGTATTTAATTTTCCCCTCCTTTCTGTACTGTTGTAATTCAGAGCTTGGTTTCCTTTCAATCTAAAGCTTCTATTTTCAATTATCATTGACAAGAGTCAGAATAAACAACTATTTTTGGTTCAGTCAAAAGTAAAAAGTAACTATGTAAAAGTAAGTACCAAAATTTAACTAGACAATATAAAAAAAGCACAATGAGCACGTACATAGTTGTTAGTACTAAACAGATTCTTACTGCTTACTTTTTAGTTCAACCTATGCATAGATCTTCTATATTTTATTGTAAAATATTGCAAACAAAAGAATATTTAAAAACATCTCTTCCAATGCCATTTCAGGTACATTTCCAAAGAAAAAGGGCCGAGGAGGTTAAATGTATCTGCTCCTTAAAGCACACCAAGCCATGAAGCATGACAGAAAGAGTATCAGAACAGACTCAAAAGATTCACTGATACCGTTCTACTCAGAGGGATCAACCATGACCAGACATTCCATTGCAAGGGGGAACTTCAATGGTGGGACATGAGATTTGATTGCCCTTCAACTGAGATTCCCAACCTATGAAACTCCTACCTATGAAATCACTCACATTTTGGACACAGCAATACCATGGCAGTGCCTTTAAAGCACTTAGCTAAAAAACAAAAATACTATTAAAATACCCCAATACTATTAAAAAATCCCATAACACTAATATATTATTTAAAATAAAAGTTTACATTGTGACATTCACAAAATCTCAGTTTTCAGATTTTCATTGTGTATTTCCTTCTTTTAAAAAATCCTGGAGGTTATAAAAGAACATAACTAAGATTTTATCTTTCTACTATAGAAACTGAAGGAAACAGGATTCTTTACTTTGTTCCCTGAGCAGGAACTCTTAAAGCAGGGCTTTTAAAGCTTTGCTAAGTCCTACTATAGAAAAGCCAAAATATACTTTTTTTAGGTCAACAAAAAAATTGAGAAGTTACACAATCGTAAGCAACCAGATTTCCCACACCTATTTTTCATAAAACCAGTGGGACAGTCTGAGCTAGAAACCTGTCTACTGAACCTGTTTAGGACTTAACATTAATTTCCTGGTGACAGGATGCTTATTAATCAGGTAGCCTATGTACTGAACCTGGGTGCCCTTTCGCTCTTTTCCGTAAGATAAACTTAAATACAATGATACAGCCAAGACTACAGGTTTTAGTGAAGTACAGAACTTCACAGAGAAAGATGGTAGGGAGTATGAAACTTTGTTTAGGGAACAACATAATAGGAGAAAGCTTACAATTAATAAAAAAACCCCAAATCAATCAACATCTCCTTTGACAGAAACCGTGGCATGGGAACCCGGCACAAAGTTCTTAATTATGATCTGGATGTCATAATTGTTTTGCTCCATTCTTCACAAAATTAGTATGAGTACACTAAGCTATTTTCACAGTGTTCTAGTTGATTATTTAGGAGCCCCTGGTGGTCTAGTGGTAAAGGTGCCGCGCTGTCACCGCCGAGACCCGGGTTCGATTCCTGGTCAGGGCCACTCCCGGGCAGGTGGGGCTCGTTAGCCCTTAAAGGCAACCCACCTACGTCCTGAGGACCTCGCTGCCACCGTCCAAGCTCGCTTGGCCCCGGCAGATGAACCTTAGGATTAAAGGGTGGGCTCAGTTCCGCGCACACTGTGTCTCACCTAAAAAATCCAATGCGCAGGCTGGAAGGTGGAAAGACCTTCCCCGGATCTTCGCTCGCGAAGACTGGCCATTAAAATTAAAGTTGATTATTTAATTATTTTAATAAAATTCTGAATAATATGGCACTTACTTTTTTCTGACTAGTTCCAACATGAATTCTAAGCTTATAGGAAAAGTTACAAAAGTTTGCTATTCCAAATCAATACTAAAAGTCAGCTTATACAAACAGGAGCAGTATATCAACACAAGGTATGTGCTGTTACTTTAATCTATCAACAATGGCAGTAGTCTAATGCTTCTCTCAAAGAGCTTTTTACACTCATATAAAGACTACTATAAGTTCAAAGAAAAAATGTTACCATAATTCAAGGAACTAAGGTGAGGAGAAACATTAAACTCACAAAACCAAGCCATTCTGACAAAACACAGGCAGAATCCTTGCAACCAAGCATGCAACATTTCAATCTGTCAGGACAAACTTCTTCTTAAAAAGTTTGTTGATCTTTTTTTTTAAAGTTTTCCTACAAAGTAAGCAGATTAAAACTGAATCTATATGCCTGACCATAGAGATATACCTTAGAAGGAGAAAAAAACCCAGCACAGATTAATTTACAGTCATAAAAAGCACGCTTACTACCTTCCAGTATTTACTTAACTACCTTAATTTCAGAGTTCCCTATGCGTAAAATGAGAAAAAAGGTAAACACTTGTTTCATGCTCGGTATCTCATTGCTTAACATAAGCAATTATCAGTCTACGTTCTACAGCTAGTTAAGAGTTTAAAACCCATTCCAAATGGAAATACTAAAAATGTTGTGAGTCTTGCAAGTTGTGAATATGACTTTGTTGGATCAATAAAACATCAAATATTAATAGGACCAAAAAAAGACCCGTTCGTTGGCCACTGAACTCCTTTTTGTTTACTACACTAGTAACAGTTGGGAAATTTCTAGTTAACTTGATACATGATGAGTCAGAGTGATGTTTTGTCTTAAAGGAAGAAAAAGTTTCAGGGGATGGAAATATGGAGAAAACTTTGAGTAAGAAGAGAACAAGATACTGGTGTAAAGCTAAAGCCAACCTGCTTCCTCATCCTCCTCATCCTCTTCCTCATCATCTGAACTTGATGACAAGGGAGCTGGTGCAGAGCTAGCTTGATTATTAACATATCCACCATACTGCATGCCTGTGAAGTGGAAAGCACAAACATAAGAGTCAGACGGACAGGAAAGACGAGAAACGAAAGTCACAAATCATTGCATTAAAAGTGAGAGAAATTAGTTGTTCTAGAGAAAATCCCAACATGCAAAAAGTTAAATCTACAACCCTAGAAGCAATTCTTAGTGGGCTAGTTCAGCAAAGTATTAGTAGCACATGGAAGTTAGCAGAAAATTTTATATGTGTGTATGTGCATGTGTAGCAGGAAGTTAAACTCAAACAGATTTCCTACGTATCTATTTAATATCAGTTTGTCCAGTGGAATGCTTTCACAAATTAATACATAGAAATGAATGAGTTATTTCCAGATAAATTCGAATTACGTTATGAAAATGTTTAGTATTAACTTTTGCTTGGCACATCTGCCCATTTTAAGACAAAAATACTTCATGTTGGAATTATGAACACTGTCAGAAATGAATGAAATATACTGCTGTTGCCACACACGAGAATACAAACACACATACAGAGAGCACAACACTATCAGTGAAAATCAAGATAAGTAAACCTGAAAATTTGGTTTGTCTTATTTTTAAATTAGTGCCTAAATTCAGACTTATAGACCCATATTTAAGCAGTTAAATATACTATCCACTTCTAATATCTGGAGACAACTCAACAACTGTTAACTGTTGTCACCTTCAAAGCATAGCCTATTAGATTTTTTTGGTGGTTTTTAACTTGTTTGCTCTTATCTACTCTAAACGTATGTGAACAATCCACAAAAGCAACACATAAATATACCATTTTAAAACAGAGTAAAGCATGCAGCAATGGTTTATAATTTCCTACGTTAGTGATGCAATTTCAGCATCTCGAAATCTTAAGTTTCTCTTGTCACAAGGCAGGGTTAGCAAGGATTTTAAATATGCTTGTAGTCAGGCAGTGACATCTTAAAAAAATGCAAGTGATCACTTTTGTCTCTTAGGTATCTAATGGATTACTATGGCAAAAAAATATCCTAATTCTCCAAAACTCTTCAAAATTTTTCAGATTCTTAGGAGTCTGATGGGTTTTTTCCCCTGTAAAGCCCTGTGGCACCACCGAGTAGAATTCTTGATTTTAATACTATAGAGCACTAGAGAAGTATCACGTTATGCATAATCTGAAACCATCCTGGTAAATAATAATATCTCCATCCACAACTTAAATCAACTATATCAACCTTTATTTTGTTCAAACTGTGGGCTATAAATGCTGTTAGGTTCATGGCTTTTTTAAAAAGGGTTAGCAAATGAACCCAAGAGGAGCACTTCAATTTTACTTAAGAAAAAAACAACCGACTCAAGGTGAAGAGTATCTATTCCAACACTGAAGTAAAAAGAAAACAAAGCAAAACTACGTAACAACATTCTTGTGAAGCTGAACTTTCACAGAGAAGTTAGTGCAAGTAGAGAGTGACATACTCCTTTATCTAGTGGATTAATACTCATACAATTCCAATAATGTTCTTCCACAATTCAAGTAGTCACAATGGCAAAGGAAAAATCATCCCAAGTGCAATTGAGGACATACAGTGCTTCAGTTTTTCCATACTGCTGAAACACAGGGATAATTTGACTGATTTCTAGTCCCATCTATTATGAAGTTTACTGGATCCACTTGATAAGGAGAATACAAGAAAATCATTCTCTGTGCAAAACCAGACTACAGCTAAGGAGACTGTCTTTTCTCAGGCCTGGGAGAGCTACCGAGGAATGAGAGAGAACAACTGCATTACTGTGAAGGAAAAAAATCTTAAAGTAATTAACATGCAAGTAAAAGGGAAAAAAAGTCAACATGACAAGAAGAAATGCAGTGTAACAGAGAGAGCCAAAGTAAAAGAAGATGCACACAGTGTGAGGGTGCAAAGACAGATCTCTAATAAATATCACTCACACAGATAGGAAGGAGAAAGAAAGGGTATCTACCTGTCAAGTGCATGACAATGCAAAAATTCCAAGCATGCGTAGATGAGAGAAAAGGACTGAATTAGTCATTCTACTCATGTTACTTTGAAGTCTTTGGACTATTTTTTTGAAAAAACCAAAACAACCTCCTATTCCTAAAACTCCCCTTTTTCCAGTTACTATACACTAATACAAAGGATGTAGCACGTGTTCAGAAAGAATACAGAAAAAATAGATTAAAAATATATGCTAGTGACACAGAAGTTTAGGAATCATAAACTATGTCCCTGTGATTCCTCTGGAGGTTTGATTCTTATCAGCCTTAAGAGATTGTGTGGATTTATTTTTATTGCCAACAGTACCATAATTTTCTGCCTTTACAATACTCTTGTGTTGTGCTAGTACAACTGTCCAGAAAAAAACCCCAACCCTGAGCTTAAAAAGTCATTCTCAGGTGGAGAGGATGACCCATTCTAGTTCACTGCCCACCAATGCTACCAATAGGTCAACACAGGGGACAAAACAAACCGAAGGGCAGAAATGGGTGACTGCAGGCAGCAGTTCCAAGTGCCATCATGTGCCTAATCATGTTTTCCGTTGTGACAACTCAGTTCTGCTTAGTATCTTTAACATATTTGCCAATAACATTAAAATCTTTCACTTCTAAAACTGCAAAGGCTAATTTTGAAACCATTATTTATTTTGAGTCAGGTTATCCCATAAATCTGGCTTAAAACGCAACCACATAATTCAAATCATCACAGATTTGTTGGACTGGAAATTTCTAAACCCTGTGACCAGTGTACCTGTATTATAACAGTATTGCACTCTAAGGCTTTATCCCACTATGATTTACAAACACCCAGAAATATAGGTGGGAGGACACAAAAGATACAACTGGCATAATGACTTATTTGCCTATGAAATAACCAAACTATTTATGTATTTAAAGTTCAATCACCATGTCACAGAAGACTTTAAAACATAAAGTGCACATTTGATACGGTTAAAGTTTCCTAATGGAGGCCCCACCAGAAACAACAAATGCAATAACTACATGCAAATACAAACTATATTCTGAAGGTCTTTAACTGTCTACCCATAACCCTCATATTTTCAACAAATTTACTACAGCATTAAGATCTTAATATTAGAAATAGTAGTTCTTACAAAATGAGCCCTCCTCTTCTCTGTTCTTAAAGTCTTTGCTTTAGATTAGTTTTATTTACTCATCAGTTCCACTCCCCAACATAAAACCTAAGAAAGTCTACAAATAACATCCAAGAGGGCAAAAAATCTCAAATTTTATGTCTACGATGCTGTTTTCAAGTAAATTGGTTTATCTGCATTAAATTTGTATACATAGTTATGTAAGATTAAATAGGTTTTAATACATTTTAAGGTTTCTGACCTGTTAGAAAACAGCCAAGTAAATAATTAGAATTTTTAAATTCTGTATAGGAATGCCCCAATAGGAGCCTAATATAATGAAATCCACTTTTAAAACTCCAACTGGTTTTTCAAAATGCTTTCATGTAGACAACAGTATTCTATTATAATACCAAAAAAAAAAAAAATCAGTCCATCTAATGTCTTCATGAGAAAGACACCTGGAATTCTAACCCAGAAAAATATTCACTATGTGTGTTCTATTTTTTCAGTAGGTTCATTTCCACAAATGAAGTTACCACATTTCACTGTTGTTAAAGAAGTATCGCAAGAGCACATTATGTATTTCAGACTCCTCAAATGAAACTAAGGAAGAGTCTGAAGTCTTCCAATGTCCATAAAAACATCATCTAAACATAGAAAGATACGTGCGTGATGGCATGTAAATGGATTTATTATTGATTATACTGATGCAAATAAAACTAGATCAGTGCAAACTCCTGACAACTTATCTTTATAATGCCAATATATTGTTGGTTTTAAAGTGTGCTCATTCAGCTATGTATTGCATTAACCTTCACTTATATGGAAGCATTTGGACTTAGTGAAGAATTAAGCAGTGACTGCAGTGATTTGTAGTTACAGTAACACATTTTACAAGAATCACTGCAAGAACATATAAATTGCATGTCAAGGCAATGGTGGTTAAACAGCTAAAATCCTTTTTCTCATTAGAAACATAGTTTGCAATTTCTTTGGAAGACGAAGCAACATTTTTTTTCTAGCAAGCACACCTACAATACAAATTCTATCTATCACCAAAATCAATCACAAAACTGTGCAAGAGCCACAGTTCCAAAACCTGATTTATTTTTCTCAGAATTGTACACTGCACATAGGACTTTATAGCAATGGACAATTATTTTTTTGCCTGTAAGATATACATAGATGATTCACAGACAACTTATATTCTCCATTCCACCAGAAAAAGGAGAAAATGGAATATAAGGGGTAATTTAGATATTTTTATCAGATGATTTTGAAATTTAAGAATAAAAAAATATGATGTGACAATCACACACCATACTTTGGAGAATTATTTTGAATATCAGACATATCACATTGTTCTGGATAAAACTAATCCCTAGTTCCACCTCTCATAAAGAGTTCTTTAAGAATTTCAAATTCTGAAATTAGCAAGAGAAAACATAGACAAAAATTGTGCAGTAAATTAGATTTGGAATACTAGACACAGAAACATATAACAATCAAGAGGCAAGTCAAAACATCAGTGTAAGATTAAAATGACTGAAGAAGGGTAAAGATCCAACTGATTTTTTGTCAAGATGCTATCAACATCAGAGTAGGAAGGAGCTTATAGCAAAACTCTGTTTTCCCACAAGAACTCTTGCAGCAGCTTTCCATGGGCAGTTATAGCTATGGAATAATTCTACCAGTTTGAACTTAATACTCAAACTCACTGTTTCCCAGTGCAAATTGCTAGTTTACACTTCATTTTTCAATACAGACTAATTACAAAAGTTACTTTTAAGACCATCTTCTAAGAAGTTAAAGTAACGACCAGCTTTTCAGAAGAATAAGGGAACCAGAAGTAGGGTTTTTTGAGCAAGAGACATGTGAGACTGCCAACAAGACAAACAAGCCAAAGACAACATATGGACAAAGAAAATTGAACACAAGTGCTAAGAGAAGCTAAAACCAATGTGACATAAAACAAGAACACTAAGGGAGCCTGATGAGAAGCAAGAGATGTGCTCCAGTCAGACAAACACAGAAAAGCAGCAATAAAACTTCCAGCATGTGCATGTGGAACAGAGAAGAAGTCTGTACTTTAACTTCCCATTCCCACTTAATACCTTCCTGAAGGGCCAGCTCTGGCGACTGTGTAACAGATGGTGAAGATGATGGCTGCGAGGAAAGGCTTGGAGCAGGTGACCTTACTGATGAGACCACAGCAGAGGAAGCAGATGTTCCAACCCCAGGCTTGGTAAATGGAACATTCTGGCTCACTGAGTGCACGGGCTGTGAAGAATCAATGCCACCTGAAAACAACAGCAGAAAGCAGGAACCCTTTGTATGTACTTGCACAGACAATTGCACAACACAAGCAGTCACATTCCATTTCACAGTAACTACAAAAAACAATACAGTACTTCAAAGAGAGATGCCTTCAAACAAATATATATGGACAGCTTGGTTGCTTTCAAAAATTAAGTACCTGTAATACTAAAACTCCGTTATAATGAGCAAAGTACTCTGTCTATTAACAGCAAAAAGGAAAGCACAATGTAGTAAGATCCAGACTAAGCACAAGCTAATTTTTGATACATCCACACAACTCTATGCTTTTACAAGTTACTCTTTACAGTTAAGCAGAATATAGTCTATCTGAAATAACTCCCTCTCAACATCCCTCCTACAGTCAGGAAACCTCAAAGTCTGTTGTGCAGTAGACCAGTACTCTGCCTCCTTCACTTTGCAACTTTGGTACTCAATTATGGGACCCATACTCCAAGCAAGTCTGTTTCAATCAATCCTGAGTACTCCACAAACCTTCTGATGCGTTTTAGACATCTGGACTAGATATAATCTGCTTTAAAAAAAGTCAAATTAATGCTTTGAGAGATTTGACACAGTTTGGTTGAAACTCCTGTCAGGTAAGGAAAACATAACTTCATTAAAAGTTAGCTCTTAACTAAGGGTCACTTTGTTTAGAAACAAAAAATTTATATTATGTGATTCTTTCTAGAAAAACTCTGACAGACCAAGTTGTTAAAAATGAGAACAGAAAGGAAATGGTATGACCAATAATACTCAGTAAACAGACACAGAAATTAGGCAAGAACACAATTCACCATCTGCACTCCTTAAAGTTACAGAATTCACTAGAGGACGCACAGGTAATATTAACTTTGCTTCCTCTGAACATAGAGCTGTGTAGTTCATACAGTCCCTGACTTTTCCTTTAATAATGGAGGTGACATCTGGAAGAACTTTATGGGCAGGTTGAGGTTGTTGAGGTTTCCTTTAGAGGGTGAAGAGGTGGCTTAAAATGATTCTTCTGTTTTCCTTGTTTATAGTCAAAATTAACAGCAAACATTTTCACTATCTTAATGGAACTTTTATACATTTTGCAATCTTCAAATACAAAGCTGAGCACACATGCAGTCTTTTCACAAGTGTTATCAAAATCAAAATGATGTATTTTTCCAACATACATACAATTTTCTATGAAATGTATTTTTTAATTGAAATGTACTTGCTATAACCTCTGTTTCTACGCATTGTCTTGCAGATTTCCCATGGCAGCATCAGCACCTATCAGCAGAAATGTTCTTATTAGAGTGACTGCACAGCTTTCTCAAGCAAGACATGCAATTAAAACAAGGGAATTTCTTTGCCACATTAACGTGCTTACCCAGGTTTTGTAGCAGTGTTTTCTGTAGGGTTACAGTATTTTCCATATTTCAAGTCAATATAGCAATGTTTGCAGCACTGCTGTAAACAATGCTAAACACTACAATGTCAGTGTCCCGATGTTCTAAGCCAAATAATAACTTCCTGCCAAATACTATTATCTATTCTCAAACAAGGGTTATCCAGTATTCTTCAAAAGTACATGGATCTTTAAATGTATTGTAAAAAAATGTTTTTAAACTCTGAGAAAAAAATGTATTTTTTTCTTTGTACAAAAATCCAACCTGCAAAATTATATGTTAAATCTACTTTGATGACTCTGAAGTTTTTGAAAGCCATAAGTAACCAAGGAAACACTTGGACAAAGTTAGTACTTAAAAATACATTGTTGGCAACTATCATCACGTGAAATGATCGATGGTTAGAGAAATTACGCTATCAATTTTTTTTTCCTTTGGCCAGTAAGATGATTACATGTAAGCCCATCATATATAAGTAGAGATCAATTTAGAATGGCTTATTTTAGCTCAAGACAAAGCTGGACTGAACATCAGTTTAGAGTACAAGTTTCCCCATCAGCTTATCCAGGACAAACATGATCAGGCCATAAAATATTCCCATCAACCAATATCATGAGAAGTCAAAGAGTTTTGCCAGGCTGTGATATATATAAAATCCACTCTCAGTGACACAGTATTTTCTGTTTTTCAAATTCAACTCCTCTCACCTTCAATGTGCACTTTTGTTTTCCCTTCAAGCCTCTCAACCATTAACAGTTCTTGCACTAACAGTGATCAAGAATAAATATCTACAGCTAAAAGCTATGTTACAGAAAGAATCTGCAGAACTGGGCAAATTAGCAGTGCAATTCATCATTGTTCTCTATATATCATCACAAAATTGTTATTTAATTTCTCAAATGAGACCTACAGGTCATAGCTAAAAAGCTTATCACCACAGTATCTTCCCAAATTTTCAGAAGAGATGCAAGAATCATCCTTTTTTGAGTTGCTCCAGCTGCAGCCTTGATTTCCTGCACCCAACATAAGATACAATTTCTGGTGAGAGATGTGCCATCTCCCTGCAGCTTGTTTTTTAACATCGTCCTACTTCCCTGACTTTTTGTACTGGCTGCAGTCCTCCCCCTTTTTTTAACCACACCTGTATTAGCAGATTTACAGGATTATAGCCTGCATTCCTATGGAACTGGGGCAGCAAGGACTTTACATCCTGCTCTGACATAATGGGAAGTATGCGCGTGAGATAATGAAATTAAGAGTGTCTCCTGCTCAAGCAGACAGACTGTCTGTGCCAGGATGCAAAGAAACCTATACCAGCCACCTGCAGGAGGAGTTCTCCAGCTCCCTCTCCTCAGGGAGGAGTCCAGTAAAATTTAGGCATTCTGGCTGATATCCATCCTGACTTGGAAAGTACCAAGAATAATCAAAGTGCACCAATTTCAGCTGAAACAAGCTGAAAAAACATTAAAGAAAGGTACTGACGTAGAAAGACAAAAAGCCAAAATAATACAAAGTATGTTATTTACATAGTGTAACAACACTCTTGGACAGATTGTTACCAACACTGTTCTGCTGAAATACAGAATTTAAAGCTAGGAGAGGATGCAGGATGAAACTAGTTTAAACCTGCAAGGAGGAGAAAAATCTCAAATTACAGATATTTATATCCTACTTTATACTTCCTAAAACAAAGAAAATTATCCTCACTGGCTATTAATTCATCAAAAGCACTCAAATTCCAGGAAAAAAAAATCATTTTAAAATACATTGTTTTCTTCTAGTGAAATCTCAGCAAGCTGCACTGAAAATACAGCTATTTCAGACAGGGGATGCCAAAGTTTTAGAAAAAGATTTTGTTGCAGTTGTGTTCCCTTAGTACATGACACATAGCAGTTCAGGGGTTTAATCTTAGCAGATTCAGTATTTGGAGGGTTTTGCAAGGTCATACATAAAACTGGATTTTTTTAAAGCAACCAAATAAAAGTCCAATGCTCACAACTTTTTTGATTCAGGTAAAAAATAATTCAGCAACCAAACAACTTCTGAAAAACTCTTGTCAGTCTAAGTTTGCTAAGTAAGTCCTGTTTGAACACACAGATTTTATTGAAAACACATCATTCTTCTACATAAAGAAGGTTTCACTCTCACCACAGAGAGCTTTCAGTACTCACTGACTGCACAAAACTGCTACTGAAAAATAGCTTAAGACAGTAGTATTCTGACTGATAGTCTTCCTACAATTTGCTTATTTATAATTCAAGGCTTGTAAGGGGTCATCTTCCACAGCATAGACACAATGATTGAAAACTGTTTTATTGGCACCCTGACTAATAGTAGGATACTGTATCAAAATTTTCTTACAGTCACAGACAGCACATTCATGAATTTCAGCATAACTTATTTTTCTTTTTTTTCAAGTAATTTTGCTAAAAGCTGCGCATAGAACAAATAGCAACTGTTCTCCATCATTGTTTCCTTCCTGGAGAACAGCAGGGAGGATGAAGTATTCAAAAAAAATCCTTCTGACAAATCATTCCTCATTTCTTTATGTTCCTTTTGTATTGTACTTGGATCCTTTCCAAGGATGTACAAGAACCAGCAAAAAGTTTTCAAGATCTAACTCCTTTTTTTTAAAGGCTGCAAACAATTAGAATACTACATGTAAAATTACTCCACCAGAGAACAGTAAGACAGCACTGGGAAATATTTAAGTCAGAAATCATGGGAAGCAGTTTGTTTAGCCACAGACAAATGGTTTAAAATGGTTTCAAGTGTTTAAAATTTAGTAAAGAAACTGCCCAGCTCTTCCTTCAGCCTAGTTATGAGTTGCTATCTTTATTAGTTCTTTCACAGTCAGTAAATACAGAATCATCCGTGTGCCGAGGTTGCACCAGGATTCAGAGGGAAGAGAAAAAAATTATTTTCCAGATAAATCAGTTCCACAATCCAGTCCACTGTGCAAGCTTGTATGTCCAGACAGACATGCTTGTATCAGCAGCTTTACAAGCTCAGAAAGAGTCTGAGTGTGGTTTAACTATGGATGCCCACGGTCTGGCAAACAAACCGGGTACTGCAGTATTACTCAAGTATAACAGAAACAGGGGGTCAGTGTTTATTTTCGTAACTGTAAAGTGTGTATCCATTACACACTACTAACGCAGCCAATTCTATCATTAATTCTTTGAACTTCAAGTATAATATTACTACATTTTCTTGAGGCCATGCACTAACTCAGTCACCCACTTGAAAGCAGCACTGAGTGGTTCAGAAATGAAACTTCTATTGCTCATATTTCTCTTCATGGTCTGATCAGCTTCACTGTTCTACCTTTAAAACAGCTGCTCCTTAAAAAAAAATATTGCTATGAACAAATCACGGATTTCAAAATACCTCCAAAGGAAATAAAATTAACAAGCACTGAAATTAAAAAGTTCTGTAAAAGAAACATTAACAGTTTAAACAAACAATAAGTTGTTTTCATATGTCTACTGCAAATTGTACTATTCTGGAATGATATCTGCATTCTTTGAAGTCCAGCTGCAGATTCTGCATTCAAAGGAATCAATTTTTTTGGCCAGAGTTTTAAACCTTCTGTCCTTGAAAGAATTCATTTTTATGCTCAATCATGAAATGCCACTAACTTCAGAAGCTTTTCAAGGAGCTCCCTATTTTTCTTTTTTATCTGTATTTTGTTTCATGGTTTTAAAATATTGAAGAAAATCAGACAGAGCCCCTCATCAAGACAGAATTCAAATCTACTAGCACTCAAAGTAATAAAACTGAGCTAAGGATGACACTCTGCATCTTAGTCTGGTGCAGGGGAAAGCAATATTGAAACCAAATTCCAACTATGGATTGGATGAGCTTGATTCAAGCTTAAATGCTTTCCCAGACAAAGCTTTACCATCATCAAAGCCATGTTCTTTCCTAAGTCCTTGGTCTTAGAAAACCTCAGCTACAAGAACTCCTAAAACAATTTCAGTGTTAGACTATAACCTGAAATATGTAAGCACAAAAAGGAAACATTCTAGCAAGCCATAGTCTGGCAAAGCATAAAAGTCAAAACTGCATGAAGTCAGAAAATTCAGAGTGTAGAAAGAAAACCAGAATCTTTCTGCACATGCTCTTGCTCTCTCAGCTGTAGACAAAGATCTTTCAACATGGAGTCACTCCTACATCTCTGTTCTTTTCCATGCTTCCTACTAAGTACTGCCTACCTCATGAATTTGTACTGTTTTCCTATAGAAAGAAGTGAGGGTTGAACGTACTTGCCCTCAGTTGGCACCTTCACAACTTCATTCTCTATAGCTACATCCATACTAATACCATCAAGTTGTTGCTTAGAAAAATCAGCTACAACTTCCTCTTTCAAATACTTACCAAAAATATTAATTAAAAAACCCGCAATTGCCTCCAAACCCATGTAGGGTTTCACTTTTTTCTGAACTTTGTGAAAAGTGCATGTGTCTGTTCACTTAGACAAAATTTAAAGGAACAACTTAAATCATGACTTAAAAAAATTCTCTAGCCAGAAAAGGAAAAAAGTATGTCTGTGATTAACAGACATATTTCAGAAATTACACATTCCTTCACAACTGAATGAAAAAACTCCCTTTCGAGGCCACTCACATGAAAAACACACCAATAAACTAAAACCATTCTCTAGTGTATCTAAATTATATATCTCTCAATAGAAACACGCAGTTGCTATTGTGAGGACTGCGGTAACCAAATCAGAAAAGCTTCAAGAATGAATAAGGACAGAATTTGAAATTACAGTACAGAATTTCACATAGTGAACAAGCACAACCCAACAAAAGCACATGATTACTGATGTCTCACAGACAAATCTGAAAGTTCACTATCCTTCAAATAATACAATACCTGTATTTATTTGGTTGTTTACTTTAGCAACGGATCCAGTGAGATTCCTGCAGAGGTTGTCTTGAACAGACTGGGCAGATGAAATAGTTGATAATGTTGTATTGTATCCCACGGGAACATGCTGTTGAAGTGAATGAGGTACAGAAGTACTCTGGCTAGAAAATGCATTTGTCTCTTTGAACTGTCCAACAGCAGGTAGACTCTGAGAGGTAAATGTCTGCCCATACGCACTGCCAGCAGCCACGGGAGGATAGGAAACATTAGGATACATGGCACCAGAAACCACAGGCATGGCGTAGGGATCGGAATTAAGGGGAAATCCCTGAGATGCAACCGAAGAGCTGACAGAAGTGCTGTAGTGATTATCAAATGCTGAATACGACTGCTGAGCACTCATATGTAAGTAAGATGCAGATGATATTGCTCCTTGAACAGGTCCGTCACTTGACCCCCCAGTATGGGGAGGAGTTTTGTTGTACAGCTGTTGCGGTCCCTGTGCATTCAACACATTGCTACCTACAGAAGGTGTCATAACGTTTTGTGCTGGTGCTGAATAGTAACCAGGGTAGTAACTGGCTCTATACTGATGATCCAGATGTGAAGCAGCAGCTTTATTGGGCACTTGGGAATAGTGTCCTGAAGGCGCACTGTAGTTTGGAGGATGTGAGCCATAGCCAGGGGGAAACTGCATCTGACTCTGCACAGGGCCTGAAAGAAGAGAAAATGTCACATGCATTAAAGGTGCATCTGCTAGTAGTGCAAATGGACTCTGTAACTGAACTAACAAACAACTGGTTTCTCCTTGTCTTCTGTCACTATTTTTGAGACCAGTTCCCATCAGCAGCAAGAGAACAAACCAAGTATAACACACGCAAATACAGTATTTGAAGTAATTTGCAAGCACACACAGAAGCAGCAGTAGAATGGATTGCTTCCATTAGCAAAGGAGGTTTCCACACCAAGATTGTTTGCCTCCTGTTTGTATTTTTAATATTTTTTTAGGAGTTTTTAGGAGGTTAATACTTAAACAAATAGTGGGCAACAGTAAGCACCAAACTGATGTTTCTAAGTGTCTGAATACAAGAGTATGCCTTAAAGGAACTGCCTGAATATGGAAAATGAAAAGCTGCAGTCAAACCAGTATGTCAATATATAACAGTGGAGGTATTCTTCCTTACAAATCTTCAATATAGCGATCAAGATGAAGTGCTGCAGGGCAGTTGTATTTGTCTTCTATGTTTTACATATTATGCTTTCAGGGAAAACTGACTGACATTTTTATGAAACTACAGAGTATTTGACAAGGCACATCATTTCAGTTACTTACATCAGGAATAAGAGATGTTGATATCAGAGAAACTGACCCCTCTTACCTCTACAACTATCTCTGCAACATTTCAGGTTAATTACATACTGGTCCAGCAAGGGTCAAATAAGTGCTTGTTTCCTGGAGACGTTAACTATGTCCAAGCTGATTTTCTCATGCCAAGTGATCAATCTGGAAGTTCTTCCTCACATTCTTTTCCTTAATGCTATTTTTACTTTCTAGTGAACCACAAATGCATTTGTCTGGATAACCTACTTTCTGAAAATTACCAACCCTTATTGCTTACATCAAGCTGAATTGCTACTGTGTTATTTCCCACCCCTTGGTCAATAAAAACACAAACACAGCACTGGCCCACTCACAAACTAAACAGCTGGAGTAATAATGAATAGTTGATTACCCCCTTATATTTACAATGATTACGAACCTTAAGCATTACTTCTCTTGTCTGGAAATTCTGAAAAATCACTGTTGTCCAAGTAACACCCAGATGTCCTATGATTAACTTGCAAGGCAATTTTAATAATGAATTTGTTAACAGACCCCTGTAAGCAAGAAACATACTGCCCAAAACTGCTTTCTGATAAAACTAAAAATGCCCTTTCATAACTGACAATACAGGAAGTTGGACAAAGAGAAAAGAACTTTAAAAAATGCAGAACAGTAACTTGGACTGCTGGCTCAAAAGACAGAAAGGCACTTGGGAGAAAACATAAGGAGCTTTAAAAAAATTACATTCAGAGTTTTGAGGAGAGCATGTTGCTATGCTTCTGATTCACCTTTTTCTTGAAAAAGTGGGAGCTGCTCCATAGAGCTCCTATTTTTTTCTCCTTTAAAGGATAATGATCTTGAGTTAGCAGGTCATTAATGGCTACATGAACTTCACCTTACCTTTGACCTGCTTTTTTAATTCCTGAAAGAGTAAACTCAAAAATACACAAATATGTCTGTCAGGGCTTGCTGCTTTAAGCAGCTATGTCAGTTAAGATGGCAAGAGAAGATATTTTATCTGAAGAGTCTGTGCATTTGTTCTACTAAACTATGCAGAACAAACTAACTGAGAAGGTATAATTTAGAAACTAGTTTAGAAGCACCTGACTTATAAATAAAAGGTTGCATATCAAATCATCTACTGAGAAGTCTTCCAGTATCTAGCTCTCGTTTAAAAACACATACAGTAAATAGACACTGAATTATCAATACAAGGTGTCAGTCTCTGCATCTAGAATGCAGAGTCCTTTTTATTCGCATTTTTAAGTAGAAACATCTATAGATTTAAAAGCACACACGAGTATAAATCCCACAAAGACCTCACTAAGACAGATGAGCCTAACATTTGAAAAATTATATTTTTGATTTCAAACTGCTGCTCCTTTGAAAGCAAGTTTTACAATTACAGATGACAGATTATTCCCTTTATCTGAAGTGAGTTTTTTCTCCATTTGATTATAAAGAATGTGAGCAGAAAGTAATTTTTGTACTGCAACTAGTAGCTGAAACTACTAATGACGATTAGATAATTGGACAGTTTTCAACACTGGAAATCGCGATACATCTTCAGTATAATTTTGAAATATGTTTAATTGCCCAATCTGTCATGATGTCTCAGGTAATCCACCTTCCTCCCTAAACACCTGACAAATATCTCAAAAAACTCCATGAAAGGAGCTGAAAACCTTAGCTGCATACAGAAGGTGTACTTCTAAAACATTGTCTCTATAATGAAAGCCATGAACCTCTCCTGCTACAGACAAATGAGAACTTTATATAATGTTATAATGTATCATTACATTGACATTAACAGGTGAACCCCAAAAATCTTAATACTTTTTAAGGGAGGGAGGAGCCACCCCCCACCCCCCAAAAAAAGCAGCAGTGCTATGGCTATACCACTATGTGAATTAGTAAACATTCGCTTGCTAGTGTCAAGTTTGTTTTTACATCCATGCATTCCCTCAGCTGAATAATTTAGCCATCTGCCACATACCCTACCTGCATGTAGTCTATGTGTCCTACAGCACCAACTTCCTTTCTATCCAAGAACACCTGTTAGCTTCCTGAAACTTTTAACATCCTTTATCCACCTCCAGAGAAGGCTCCCCCAGCTGCCTCACATGTCCTCTAGCGATGGAGAGGGGACACAGCTGTCCCTTGTCAACTGCAGGCAAACAAACCAGCAAATCCAGCCAGTGCTGAGCTCTCCCAACAGCTCAGTCACACAATTGATGTCTACTCCTTCATTCACCCAGCTTCCCGTTTTCACAAAATATTCAGGGATTTCCTATCTTTCACATCTCTATTCTCTTCATTAAATTTAATTAAACTATCAAAAAGATCCAAAGTCAGAGATTTCAGTACAGGATCAAACTGAGAATGTTGTAAGAGAGAAGTAAAAATTAATAAAATACACACAAGAAGTTAACTTAAAAAAACCCAACAACAACTATAAGTTATGCTAAAACTAAAGTCTCCAAGGATCTCAAATGGACTTGGTCATTGAACGAGGCAAAATTTACTAATAACAAAACTGAACATCCTTTTAAGTACCACCGTATGTACAACAGGTCACTTGCTTTCTGCAAAAAGCAGATCCTCCTTCATCAGATTGTAGTAACTACACGGCTTTACCTGAAAAATTCACATTTTATGAAATTAAACATCCAAACATGCAAGAGGATGCTCTAGTGTTTTCTTTCGGCCAATACAGAAACAGCTCAAGTCACTTCAGTATTCTGCATTTAAACTCCATTATAATGATGTACAATTAAATTTCAAAAGCAATGACAATCTTCTTTGTGAAATTTAGTTTCTATCAGACAGAATGGAAAATTCCACTACATTCTTCTTCTGTTACTATCCCCCTACACTGCCCATCCTATTGCAATTAAAGGGAAAAAAAAAGAAGCCTTCAATCTTGTGTTATAACTTCAGAAGATTAGTACTGCAAGACAACAGACACATCAATCTAAAAATTCTGGAATGCTACTGCTGAATGTCACGAAATGAAAAATTCAGTTATTGACTACAAGTCATCAAACACACACCATTAAGACATCTTAAAACCACAGTAGTTATAAAATAAAAACTCAAGACTCTTAGTGAAGAGTGTATAAATTTCTCAGAATTAAAGAAAAAGTATTTTGAAGTAAATAAATGGTTTGCTCCCTGATTTTACACAAGCCATTTCTAAAAATATTAGCAGCAACATGGGGTTAACTAATTAAAACAACAAACAGTAATGATGGCTCTCTAAAATTACTGTTTCATTAAGGTTAAAACACAAAGAGAAGGCATGACAGTTTCTATTTGTTTCTGTAAAAACACTTCCAGGTTATTGATGCTGTAGTAGCTGTGTCCTGATAATGGCATGTTTTTTTATTAAAAGCCTCATAAATTGGCATTTTCTGAACCATTTTTACAAAACTCAGCATTACAATACCAGTTTGGACACAACCGGGCACTGATATCTTAAAATCTACCGTTTAATTACCTTCCTTTTCATTCACTTCAGTGACCTACCCAACGCCTACAAAAGTACTTATCACTTAACCACCCCTTTGGAGATTCTGTAGGTCCTTACCCTGCACACTGATCCGTTCAGGAAAAACACCTGGGCAGAATACAGCCTGGCTAAAGGACTTAACAGCATGAGTTAAATCATCTTGGCAAACAAGAGGCGACAAATTTAGACACCAAACCAACATTACATGGAGAAGATGATCATGCAGGGATTTTGAAGAGTTAACGTGGTGTATTAATAAATAACTAATTTTATAGTGCACCAATTTGAAAATGAGGAAGTGTATGCTCATTACTCTCATTCATAGCACAGTCAGTTTCACTACCTCTCCTGAAATGCGAGTATTTTGTGACTTTAAGCCATTCTGCCTTTCTTTTTCAGTGACCCACATTTCACTGGCCCAGTGCTGTTCGCTCAACTCAAATCCCGACACCCAGTTGTGTGAACGCCTACCCACCTACTACTTTTAAGTTCATAAACAGCTACGAAGCGAGTACTCTCACCCAAAATAACGCGATTTTCTGCCCGTTCTCACGCTCCGCAGCCAGCGCCGAGGCCTGGAGGTGCCTTGGCCTCCAGAGCGCTCCTGAAACGCCACAAAGCAGGCGCCACGGCACCGGGCACATCCAAACCCGCGAGGGGAGCGAGGCGCGGATCCCCCTCTCCCGAGCCCCTGCAGCCAGGCGGGGAGAGGCCGCGCCTTCCCGAGCTCTTTCCCGCACGCAGCCGCGGGCCCCGCAGCGGGACGCGCCTTTCCCGAGCGGCCCCGGCGACTCCCGCTGCCTTTCATCCCAGGGGCTTCGTTACGGCCCGGATCCACCGGGCCCGGGCCCCTCCCGCCCCGCCGGGGGAATGAAGGGGCGCGCAGCCCCCCCCGGCACCCCCAGGGGCCTCCTCCCGTGCAGGGGCCGCGCCGCTCCCCCCGTGCGGGAGCCGCTCCCGCCCGCGCCGGCCCCTCACCGTTGTGGCAGCGCGGAGCGCCGCCCGCGGGGGCCGCGGCCTCCCGGGACCCGCCGGGCCCGGCCGGGGAAAACGCGGTGGCGGCGGCGGGCCGCGGCGGCAGCCCGGCGGGCGCGGACATGGCTCCTCGCGGCGCCTCTTCACTCCGTCCCGCTTCTCCTCCTTCCCTTCCTCTTCCTCCTCCCGCTCCTGCTGCTCCTCCTCCTCCTCCTGAGCCCCGATCCAGGGCCGGACGCCGAGCGAGGGTCCGGGAGCCGCGGGAGGGCCCGAGCGCCGCGCGCGCCGCCGCGGCCCTGAGCGCCGCCGCCCACAGCGCCCCCTGGCGGCGCCTCCGCCGCCCGCCCGGCACTGCCCGGCCCGACCGGGCCTGGGACGGGATCCCCTCGCCCGCTCCCCGCGGGGACCCGCCTGTGGGGCGGCGAGGAACCGCCCGCTTCGTCTGCGGGTGCTGACCCATCTGGGACCCTGTGGGGGCGGGCGGACAGGCCAGGGCGAGGGTGAGGAGCAGGAGGTGACCCTGTCCCCCTGCTCAGCCCTGATGAGGCAGAACCCGGAGTGCTGTGTCCAGGTCTGGGCTCCTCGGTACAAGAGACCTGGAGCGGGCCCAGTGGAGAGCAGTGAGGAAGGCTGGGTTACTGGAGCATCTCTCTTTCAAGGAAAGATGGAGAGAGTTGGGCCTGTTTAGCCTGAAGAGGAGATAACCAAGAGGGGACATCATCAATGTGGATAAATATAAAGGTGGGGTGGCACAAGGATGGAGCCAGGCTCTTAGTGCCATAGTCTAGTAACTGTGGTGGTAGTGGATCAAGGGTTGGGCTTGATGATCTCAGAGGTCCTTTCCAACCCATCTGATTCTATGATTCTGTAATTCTATGATTCTTCTTGGTTGTGCCAAGCAATGGGACACGAGGCAATGGTTAGAAACCATGCAAAGGAAGTTTCACCTGAATATAAAGAAGAATTTCATTACTCTGCAGGTGACTGTGGAACAGATTGCCCAGAGAGGTTGTGGAGTCTCCCTCACTGGAGATATTCAAGACCCTGAACGAAATCCTGTGCAATGTGCTCTAGGATGACCCTGCGTGAGCAGGGAGGTTGGACCAGGTGAGCCCCCTGTGGTCCCTTCCAAACTGACCCATTCTGTGAGGCTGCTCTGTGATCCTGACTGAGGGCATAGACATGTACATGTACAATACACATACCTCCCATCATTTTGGCTGAGACTTTTCTGTCTGTATAGGTAATATACACTATTTTAGGACTATATGTATCCTGGAACACATAGAGGTAATGTGTGTGCTCTGCACAGGGGAAAAGGCCTCACAGGGTGAGGTGAAAACTCTCCCTCTGTAGTTATTTCTATGTATAAAGAGAAAAGCTTCGGTGAGATGGGGATGAGCTGAGGCAAGGCTTTTCTCTCTGTGTTAGGAATGGGTGTATTCTCTGTGTATTCTCTCCCTCTTCACTGTGGTTACATGCTATATACGAAGAGAAGGCCTTCACAAGGAAGGGCTAGACAAGATAAGGCAAGGCTTTTCAGTCTCTGTGCAGAATATGTAGTAGATATTCTCTAAACAGGAAGGCAAGTGTTAGAGAGCCCTTGCTGTGATTTAACCCCAACCAGGAAGCAAGCACCACACAGCCCCTGACTCACTCCCTCCACCCTGTCCCAGTGGGATGGAGGAGAGAATTGGAATACTAAAAGTGAGAAAACTCATGGGTTGAGATAAAAACGGTTCAATAGCTAAAGCAAAAGCTGCTCACACAAGCAAAGCAAAACAATTCCTTCACCACTTCCCATGGGCAGGCAGGTGTTCAGCCATCCCCAGGAAAGCTCCTACTTGGGGAGGGATAAAGGTCTCTCCCTTCCTTCTCCCACCATCTCTATATGCTGAGCATGATTTCATAAAGTATGGAATATCCCTTGGGTGACTTGGGGTCAGCTGCCCCAGCTGTATCCCTTCCCAGCGTCTTGTACACCCCCAGCCCCCTCGCTGGTGGGGTGTTTTGAGAGGCAGAAAAGGCCTTGTCACTGTGTAAGCACTGATCAGCAATAATGCAAACATCCCTGTTTTATCAACACTTTTTCTATCAAAAATCCAAAACATAGCCCATACCAGCTACTGTGAAGAAAATTATTCCCAACTAAAATCAGCACATCCTCCCTTGCTGGCTACTGTTGCCAAAGGATCTCCCTTCAATTTAACACTTTCCGTAGCCTTTTATGTAACCTTGGTACATAAATTTGACCAGTCCCTTCCCTGTTTGGATGGTGCTGTTCCTACTAGTTATTATACATGTCTGCCCTTAAATGCTGTAATACCTTTTTAGCTACTTTGCCTGTATGCTCAGCATATGGTCCAGCCCTGACTGTTACTGTTATTACAAAGCATGCAGGGCATCTTTTAGTGCTGCAGGAACTGACTGTATTTCAAAGTTTCTCAGCCTGTCAAACAATGTAGAGGTGTCTTTTGCAGGCCTCCGTTAGTCCTTTGACAGACTGTAGATCCATATCTGAAAGAAATAGTTTCTTCTTTATGACCTAATAAGGTAGGGCAAGAAATGATGGGTTCAAAATGCAGCAACATGCAGGTGAGCTATTAAGAAGTAAGTATTATTTTCAAAACTAAAGGACTCAGTTACATGGGAACAGTGTGACATTGCCATAATTGAAGGAGTCTTAACAGAGGTTACACAAACATTTTGAGAGTCAGACTGTCAACCAGCTTTGGTGCGAGTGACTTCTTGAAATCCCTTCCAGGACTGTATTGTGCTGACAAATTCTGCCGTTAAAGTTGTTCTTCTTTCTTTGTAAACCATGCTTCTCCATCCCACACAAAATACTTGTGAGAAATGAATGCATGACACCAAAATAATTCAGAAATATGGACAGCCAGTTGGTTTGCCTTTTCATTTTCAGTAGTGTTTTTTAAGATGCGTAACTGCTTCTGTGTACTGCAACTATGTTTCGTCACAGCATGCAATACATGTGAATCTGTGTTGTGACAAAGGTTTTCCCTTTCCAAAGTCTAATTTCTCTAGTTCCTTTTACTGCGAGACTATAAATATATCCTAAATAACAGTCTGTGAAAATTACACATCAATTTATGATCAAGCACAAGGAGTGTGCTAAAAGCAAGAGGAGGCAACTGGGAATTTTCCCATTGTTTTGAATGCTTTTACAAAACCTTTTACACAGTTTAATCAATTATTTTCCACAAACAACAACGACACTGTGGTTAAACCCATTTATTCCTAGGAAATCCAGATGTGTTGGCAGAAAGAACACAAGCCCCTAATGGAAATCCACTGTAAACTCAAAACCATTAATTTTGTTTTCCTCATTTATAATGAATTTGAAAGCATTAGTAAGAAATGAGTATTAATGTCTGCTGTTAATGCTACCATGCAACAAATAACAGGAGCTGTCTCACCTAGGCCATTGCTTCCACTTAGTTCTAGTAACAAGTTATTACAGGAGTAATAAATTCTTTGGCCACCTGATGAGGCTTAATTACTAATAGATTTATTTTGACCTCTGGTGGAGGAAACAATGACACACAAAAAAAACCCTCTACCATTTGGGTTTGCAGAACAAAATATGAAAATGCATCTTGTTACCCATAATCTAATAAAAGAGGCATTAAATGTCCAAGCCTAGAAAGAAAAAGTTATTTTTGCAAGGACAAAAGTCTGGGAACAAATCATTATAAACTGAGTAAGAAATAATGTTGAGCTCTAACATAACTAAGCCAAGCTTCTTCCACTTTGTCATACATTTTAGAAGGAGAATGACAAAATTAGGTGCTTTTATAATCTCCATAAACAAAATGTATCTGTGGGTCACCCTAGCTCACTAATAAATTTCTAATTATTGCCCTGCATTTCTATCAGGAACTGGGCCATTTTGGTGCAGAATAATAAGGCTTCATGTTTTCACAATCAGAAGTTTCCAATTGCGTTAACATAATTGTATTTGCATAAGTTGCCTGTAGTCACTGCAGTGTAATTGCATTCCAGAATGAGAAAGGCAAATCAAGACTCTTGATGTCACTGTAAAGTGTCCCTCTGCTTGGGTGACCTCTGCATCTGGCTGAAGGATAAATCCCTGCATCCACTGGGCGAGATCTATGCTATACTTCATTTGCAGCTGGCTAATTAGTAGAAGAGGCCCCAGGGCAGTCATGCTCCACTTTAAATAAAAATCTTCCAGACTTCTAAAGCATAACAGAGAACGAGACATCAGTTGTGATACCGCTCAGCTTTCTTACACAAGTACAGATTTACTTTCCATGTAGTTTATTTATTATCCAGGTAACTCCAGAGAAGCTTTGTGCCTCAGCAATGAGCAGGACTTTCTTTTTTGTCCGTCTGAAGCACCTGGTATGCATTCCGGCTGGGTACAAAAGACTGAGCTGTGCTTAATTTTTCTGTTTTGAAGTGTTCATTTTGTTTTGGTTTTGGGGTTTTTTGTGGTTTTGTCTTGTTTTGGGGTGGTTGTTGTTGTTGGGGGTTTGGGGTGTTTGCTTGCTTGGTTGGAGGGTTTTGTTTGTTTTTGTGGGGTGGTTTGGTTTTGTTTGGTAGGTTTGTTGGTTTTTTGTTTGTTTGGGGTTTTGTTTGGTTTTTTGGGGACTATTTATATCTGTAATGGAAAGGGCTCAGAAAGCAGCAGGATCTACTTGGTTGGGATTTCTCTGGACAAAGGCAATGAGCTCTTCTACCTGCTACAGCTGATAGTTGCTGGATGTAGCTAATCATTATGGCCCCTATGTCTGAGACTGGAAGTCAGAGTAGCTGTTCCATTCCATAATCCCTAATGACGGGTATCATCTCTGTTCACACTCTAGTCTACAATTTCAGTGATGCCTCTTCAGATATGGATATATGACTTAATTCTCACTTAAACTGGTAGTCCCGATTGGCAATTATGCCTGATAAGCCTCTTGAGTATACAGTGTAGATAAACATATATCTATATATAGACTTGTAGTATTCCTGGGTGGTTTCATCAGCTGCAAACTCCAGTCTATGGCAACACTACTCAGAAATCACCAAGCAAGCCATGACTAGGGAATAACCTCAGCTATATCCAAAGATCTAAATGCTTTTATGAAATTATGTTCAAAGGGGAAGTCTAGCCACAAGCTTTCATGTGAACTTGGGGGACAGCTAAACAAAAGCAAGGGAATCTGGGGAATTTATACAGCTGATGTGCCACATCCCAGCTGTAGAGGTGTAGTGTTGC